GGTCGGGTATGAAGGCTTGGTTGTGTATGTGGGATGGGTCGGGTATGAGGGCTTGGTTGTGTATGGGGGATGGATCGGGTATGAGGGTTTGGTTGTGTATGGGGGATGGGTCGGGTATGAGGGCTTGGTTGTGTATGGGGGATGGGTCGGGTATGAGGGCTTGGTTGTGTATGGGGGATGGGTCGGGTATGAGGGTTTGGTTATGTATGGGGGATGGGTCGGGTATGAGGGCTTGGTTGTGTATGGGGGATGGGTCGGGTATGAGGGTTTGGTTGTGTATGGGGGATGGGTCGGGTATGAGGGCTTGGTTGTGTATGGGGGATGGGTCGGGTATGATGGCTTGGTTGTGTATGTAGGATTGGTCGGGTATGAGGGCTTGGTTGTGTATGGGGTATGGGTCGGGTATGAGGGCTTGGTTGTGTATGGGGGATGGGTCGGGTATGAGGGCTTGGTTGTGTATGGGGGATGGGTCGGGTATGAGGGCTTGGTTGTGTATGGGGGATGGGTCGGGTATGAGGGCTGGGAGTGGTGTGAAGGTCGTGGTCCATATTCTGTGACCCCATGTTGGTGGGGGTAACTTTCCTGGCTGGAGTGCCCCTCATCACGTTCGAAGCCCTTGTTATGGTTGGCCTCGTAACTCACCTGAAGTATTAGCAATAATTAATCCGAGCTCAAAACTATTGGCAAATTTTTATGTAATAAATAAAAATACGATTCATTTTGTTATAGTCCCCTACCGTCTGCTTGCGTCCGTCGGGATGGTCGACATTGTAGGTACCTCTGTGGTTGAAGTTGGTCCCGGAGTAGTCGTCCTTATCACTGTATGCGAAGTCGTGTGGCATACCCGGCTGCTGCAGTTTACCAGTTTCATGATGAATATATTGTAACCGTGTGCACGACAAGCTTGTATATTCAGATTTCAAACTAATCTGTTCAGAGGGTTAATAATGAAATATTATGTGCCCAAGACCAAAAATATAAACACTACCTTGTATCCGGGGTTTGGTGCAGATGGAGTCCCGTAGGGGTCGGAGGCGGCGGCCAGGGCCACGCCCAACACCACAACCACCAGCACCGCCTGCCGGAGACAAGCTGTCATTAAATGTTTATATCAATAAGTAGAAACTGTACAGCAACCATCACACCAGCTTTGGCTGTTTTTGTTTGGCCTCTCTGCCTGGAAGAAAAGAATATGCAACACCCGGGGAAGCCTTGTGAGGCTCAAAGGTGCATTCACAAATATATTTTACGGTTGAATGGTGCTTGACATTGAATTGCATGTATGTAACATAAAACAAGATATCTGATGAATACTTAACGTTATTATTGAAATCTAGTTTACTGATCATATAATATGCAATGTGTGATAAGGTTGTAATAGCTATCATCCAGTCATTAGTGTGTTTTTAAATGTAAAATATGCACCTTGAGAGTCATGATGTGCTGGCGGATGGTGAGTGATGGTGGTGTCCAGGCTGCTTGTGGCTTTATACTCACCATCCTCTCTCCTGGACTTACCTCTCCCCCTAGCACCTACACCTCCTGCCTCTCACAAACGCCTGCTGTCTCCCACACCTGTTGTCTTACACCTTCTCTTACCCACTCCTCTCTCCCACACCTGCTGTCTCTCGTCTTCTTTCTGCTGTCTAGCCCCTTCCGCGACACACTCTCGCTTCTATCAAAATAGAATATTGCCCGCTCCTCTCTCCCCTGTTCAGTGCAGATGAGATTGCACAGCTCTATACATAGGTTCTTTACTTGTAGCCTAGAATTGGGGGAACACTAAAATTACTGAGACTGCCCGAAAGCATTCCAAGTGGGAGTTTTTTGAATGGAGACGAAATAGATCTCATGTTACATTGAAAAATACTGAAAGGTCAGGTTACAAATGTTCACAATGAAATTACATCCTATGGAGTGAGATAGATTGTAGGATTAGACAACTCTATGTAAACTTCATAGGAATACGATCATCATCATCCTGGATACGGTAATATAGAATATCGCTGGAACAACAGTGAAGTTTTCATAAAAGACCGGGAGAAGTTTCTGTTGAAATTATTGGAGCAGGATGGCTGCGATTGTTATGTGGTTCTGCGAACTACAAGCAGTCTCATAGACCAGGCAATCTCACACGAATGGCTGGCATCAGACCAGGATTTCACAGAAGAATTATCGAAATCATCTATAGGTAATCTAATCTACTAGATTAGCTTAGTAGTATTAGTTGATTAGTAGATCTAGTAGTAGTAGATTAGTATATCTGATATCCATTCCCGTATTATTGGTTGTTTTGTGAAGGACTTATTAAGACTTGGGATAGTTTATTAATTTAGATATTAACAAAATCTGGAATTCATACTTTGCTATGAGTTTCTAATCTTTGTTTTATCAGATGTGATAAATTTATGTAGGATTATTTCTACTAGCTGTTATTGAGTGTTTTGTTGTTGAGGAAAGAAGGAAATGTATTGAGTTAGACATAGTTCTTTATTTACATGTATTTTAACAGAGCTAAAGCAAAATATGGTGTTTTAACAACACACTAATTATAAATGACCATTATACGAGTATAATTTTTAAGTCAAACACAAGTTGTCAGAATACAGATCATGTTAGCTGTTTTAAGTGGCAGGTGCTTGTTTTCCCACAGTCCCTGTCCTGTTGAGGTCTATTTTCGCATAGAGCACAGTGAAGGCTGATTGCCAGAATTTGTAATATACGTTGAAAATATCATTAGTCATGCATCAGTTGACATTGAAAACTAAGTATTAAACAGTTACATGACCCCGGTTAACTTTATATTTCTTCAACAATGGATATTGTCACGGGTAGGTCTGCAGCCAGTACGCGAGGGCGTGTATTAGGTCTTCAGCTGGGATGATGGATGAAACCTGGACCTGGTATGAGGGTTAGGGTCATTTACAAGGGCTGGGGCCAGTAAGAAGGTTGGGCTGGTATGAGGTCTGGTGCTTGTATGATGGCTGGGGTTGGCATATGATACCTGCTTGATGGGGTTCTGGGAGTTCTTCTACTCCCCAACTTGACTTGGGAGAGTTTGGTCCACTACATTGTTGCTTTGAGCGGCCCGCAGGTCCACATATCCACCACAGCCCGGTTGGTCGGCACTCCTTGGAGGAAACAATCTAGTTTCCTCCTGAAGATGTCCACGGTTGTTCCGGCAATATTTCTTATGCACGCTGGAAAGACGTTGAACAACCGCGGAACTCTGATGTTTATACAGTGTTCTCTGATTGTGCCTATGGCACCCCTGCTCTTCACTGGTTCTATTCTGCATTTTCTTCCATATCGTTCACTCCAGTATGTTGTTATTTTACTGTGGGGCTGGTGCGGGTATGAGGGTTAGGTGCTTCTGAATATGAGTACTGGTGCTTGTGTGAGGGCTGGGGCTGGAATATGAGGGCCGGGGGCGGGTATGAGAGATTTAAGATAACGGCTAGACGGAACTGGTGGGGGTACTGAGCTTCGGAATAGTACTCCACGAATGCTGAGGTTCCCTTCTTGTGCACCTTTCAGGGACTCGGATTCGAACTAGTTGTTCAGACACCCAGATGGTCCAGTCAGCAATGACTTTGACTTTAAATCATATTTTTGAGGTATAAATACACACAAAAGCATGAGGCAGCTCAAGATGTTCTCACCCTGTTCAGTATATATATATATATATATATATATATATATATATATATATATATATATATATATATATATATATATATATATATATATATATATATATATAATATCACACATCACAATCAACATATTACTCAACGTTCTGGTTGATAAACATATTTATAACATATACATATTTTCCTGTACACATGCAGTGTGTATCAGACGTACACACAAATACTTTTGCGACTAAGTACTCATACATTAGTAGCAATAAAGAGGCTAAAAATAGACATTCAGGCAAACCAAAAAAATGTAACAATCTTGGTGCAAAATTCTTATATCTCTCTCTAGCATATCGTCGGTATTTCCATTGTGACACATCCAGGCTATTTTTTCAGGAACAGTCCTTATCTCAGTATTTCTAAATGCGTTAACCAGCGGGCAATCACGAACATAGTGGGTGAGGGTGTGAGAAATTAACAATGTACGTAGTTTACACTTTACACATAATCATTATCATTAGCACCCGGTTCATATTCCCAGTACTGCGTGTGTGTACCCAAACCTGAGCCCCATGTGTGCCTCGGTAGTCCAGGTCCTCGGGTTTCTTCCCATCCTTCAGTCTCAATATGTTTTGTGATTACATTTAGTAGTACCTTAATAATGTTAAGGATATGTTAACACAACCTTTCGTATTATGTTAATATAAGAAAGTCACGTGGAATAAATTGATAGGAATGCTAAAATTTAACATTCGTCAGGAATATACTTATAGTAAAGTTAAATTTGCAAAATTTTATTCATAATACAAATATAACAGCGAATCACATTGGCTCTTATAATTTTTGTAAGTTTAACAGTATTCAGTTATCCATAGTTTATGGTAAGATATTTTGGATTTGTATGAAGGGTTGGGTCGTGTATGGGGTTGGGTCAGGCATTAGGAATTAGTCGGGTATGAGGGCTTGGATCCGTATGAGGGATGTGTCGTGTATGTGGGCTTGATCGTGTGTGGAGGATGGGTCGGGTATGAGGGCTTGGTTGTGTATGGGGGATGGGTCGGGTATGAGGGCTTGGTTGTGTATGGAGGATGGGTCGGGTATGAGGGCTTGGTTGTGTATGGAGGATGGGTCGGGTATGAGGGCTTGGTTGTGTATGGAGGATAAGTCGGGTATGAGGTCTTGGTTGTGTATGGAGGATGGGTCGGGTATGAGGGCTTAGTCGTGTATGGGGGATGGGTCGGGTATGAGGGCTTGGTTGTGTATGGAGGATGGGTCGGGTATGAGGGCTTGGTTGTATATGGAGAATGGGTCGGGTATGAGGGCTTGGTTGTATATGGGGGATGGGTCGGGTATGAGGGCTTAGTCGTGTATGGGGAAGGTTTCGGATATGAGGGCTTGGTCGTGTATGAGGAATGGATCGGGTATGAGGGCTTGGTCGTGTATGGGGAATGGGTCGGGTATGAGGGCTTGGTCGTGTATGGGTAATGGGTCGGGTATGAGGGCTTGGTCGTGTATGAGGAATGGGTCGGGTATGAGGGCTTCGTCGTGTATGAGGGATGGGTCGGGTATGGTTTGGTCGTGTATGAGGGATGGGTTGGGTATGAGGGCTTCGTCGTGTATGAGGGATGGGTCGGGTATGAGGGCTTGATTGTGTATGGAGGATGGGTCGGGTACGAGGGCTTGGTTGTGTATGGGGGATGGGTCGGGTATGAGGGCTTGGTTGTGTATGTGGGATGGGTCGGGTATGAGGGCTTGGTTGTGTATGGGGGATGGGTTGGGTATGAGGGCTTGGTTGTGTATGGGGGATGGGTCGGGTATGAGGGCTTGTTTGTGTATGGGGGATGGGTCGGGTATGAGGGCTTGGTTGTGTATGGGGGATGGGTCGGGTATGAGGGCTTGGTTGTGTATGGGGGATGGGTCGGGTATGAGGGCTTGGTTGTGTATGGGGGATGGGTCGGGTATGAGGGCTTGGTTGTGTATGGGGGATGGGTCGGGTATGAGGGCTTGGTTGTGTATGGGGGATGGGTCGGGTATGAGGGCTTGGTTGTGTATGGGGGATGGGTCGGGTATGAGGGCTTGGTTGTGTATGGGGGATGGGTCGGGTATGAGGGCTTGGTTGTGTATGGGGGATGGGTCGGGTATGAAGGCTTGGTTGTGTATGGGGGATGGGTCGGGTATGAGGGCTGGGAGTGGTGTGAAGGCCGTGGTCTATATTCTGTTACCTCATGTTGGTGGGGGTAACTTTCCTGGCTGGAGTGCCCCGCATCACGTTCGAAGCCCTTGTTATGGTTGGCCTCGTAACTCACCTGAAGTATTAGCAATAATTAATTCGAGCTCAAAACTTATTGGCAAATTTGTATGTAATAAATAAAAATACGATTCATTGTGATATAGTCTCCTACCGTCTTCTTGCGTCCGTCGGGGTGGTCGACATTGTAGGTACCTCTGTGGTTGAAGTTGGTCCCGGAGTAGTCGTCCTTATCACTGTATGCGAAGTCGTGCGGCATACCCGGCTGCTGCAGTTTACCAGTTTCATGATGAATATATTGTAACGGTGTGCACGACAAGCTTGTATATTCAGATTTCAAACTAATCGGTTCAGAGAGGTAATAATGAAATGTTATGTGCCCAAGACCATAAATATAAACACTACCTTGTATCCGGGGTTTGGTACAGATGGAGTCCCGTAGGGGTCGGAGGCGGCGGCCAGGGCCACGCCCAACACCACAACCACCAGCACCGCCTGCAGGAGACAAGCTGTCATTAAATGTTTATATCAATAAGTAGAAACTGTACAGCAACCATCACACCAGCTTTGGCTGTTTTTGTTTGGCCTCTCTGCCTCAAAGAAAAGAATATGCAACACCCGGGGAAGCCTTGTGAGGCTCAAAGGTGCATTCACAAATATATTTTACGGTTGAATGGTGCTTGACATTGGATTGCATGTATGTAACATAAAACAAGATATCTGATGAATACTTAACGTTATTATTGAAATCTAGTTTACTGATCATATAATATGCAATGTGTGATAAGGTTGCAATAGCTATCATCCAGTCATTAGTGTGTTTTTAAATGTAAAATATGCACCTTGAGAGTCATGATGTGCTGGCGGATGGTGAGTGATGGAGGTGTCCAGGCTGCGTGTGGCTTTATACTCACCATCCTCTCTCCTGGACTTACCTCTCCCCCTAGCACCTACACCTCCTGCCTCTCACTAACGCCTGCTGTTTCCCACACCTGTTGTGTCTTACACCTTCTCTTACCCACACCTGTCTCTCGTCCTCTTTCTGCTTTCTAGCCCCTTCCGCGACACACTCTCGCGCCAATCAAAATGGAGTATTGCCCGCTCCTCTCTTCCCCCCTGTTCAGTGCAGGTGAGATTGCACAGCTCTATACATAGGTTCTTTACTTGTAGCCTAGAATTGATGGAACACTAAAATTACTGAGACTGCCTGAATGCACTCAAAGTGGGAGTTTTTTTTAATGGAGACGAAATAGATCTCATATTACATTGAAAAATACTGAAAGGTCAAGTCTCAAACGTACACAATGAAATTACATCTGATGGAGTGAGAGAGATGGTAGGATTAGAGAATGCTGTGTAAACTTCATAGGAATACGACTCTTCATCCTCCTGGATACGAGAATATAAAGTGTTTCTGGAACAACAGTGAAGTTTTCACTAAAGACCGGGAGAAGTTTCTGTTGGAATTATTGAAGTAGGATGGCTGCGATTGTTATGTGGTTCTTCGAACAACAAGCAGCCTCATAGACCAGGCAATCTCACACGAAGACTGGCATCAGACCAGGATTTTACCGAAGAATTATCGAAATCATCTATTGTTAATCTAATCTACTAGATTAGCTTAGTAGTATTAGTTGATTAGTAGATCTAGTAGTAGTAGATTAGTATATCTGATATCCATACCCGAATTATTGGTTGTTTTGTGAAGGACTTATTAAGACTTGGGATAGTTTATTTCTTTAAATATTAAGAAAATCTGGAATTCATACTTTGCTATGAGTTTCTAATCTTTGTTTTATCAGAAGTGATAAATTTATGTAGGATTATTTATGCTCAGCTGTTACTGAGTATGTAGTTGTAGAGGAAACAAGGAAATGTATTTAGTTAGACATAGTTCTTTATTTTAATGTATTTTAGCAGAGCTAAAACAGAATATGGTGCTTTAACAACACAATTATACATGACCATTGTACGAGTGTAATTATTAAGTCAAACACAAGTAGTCCGAATACAGATCATATTAGCTGTTTTAAGTTGCAAGTACTTCTTTTCCCCACCTTCCCTGTCCTGTTGGGGTCTATTTTCACATTGAGCACAATGAAGGCTGATTGTCTGAATTTGTAATATACGTTGAAAATATCATTAGTCATGCATCAGTTGACATTGAAAATTAAATATAAAAGTTACATGAACCCGGTTAGCTTTATATTTCTTCAACAACGGATATAGTCACGGGTAGGTCTGCAGGGCGTGTATTAGGTCTTCAACTGGTATGACGGATGAAACCAGGAGCTGCAATGAGGGTTAGGGTCAATTATAAGGGCTGGGGCAAGTATGAGGGCTGGGCTGGTATGAGGGCTGGTGCATGTATGATGGCTGGGGTTGGAATATGAGGGCTGGTGCTTGTGTGAGGGCTGTGGCTGGAATATGAGGGCTGGGGCTGGAATATGAGGGCTGGGCTGGTATGAGGGCTAGTGCTTGTGTGAGGGCTGGGGCTGGAATATGAGGGCCGCGGGTGGGTATGAGAGCTTGAAGATAACGGCTGGACGGAACTGGTAGGGGTACTGAGCTTCGCCGTAGTACTCCACGAATGCTGAGGTGCCCGTCATGTGCTCCACCCTATGCATAATTCACTTTGCTTAATGATTACTTTCCTTGTAACTGTCAGACATCAGCTTTAATAATATTAGTTAATAATCAATAATTCCCTTCTGCCTGTGTCCGTCGCGAAGGTCGATATTGTAGGAGCCACGGACGATGTTGCCATCGGAGTTTTCACTGTGGCTGAAATTGTGGCCCGAATTATTGTCCCGCTTTTTATCACAAGTGGGTACAAGTGTATAGTCGACTACCGACTCCTTTTAGCAGGCTTTGGAGTTTTCCGTTCCCATTGCTCATGGCAAGCCTTACTCTACTAGTTTTCCCCTGGAACACGGCCTACCAATCGGTTTACAAGTGCCAATTACTGCTGGGTGAACATGGAATAACAGATATGGAATTAAACCCAGTCAAATCTCCCTGGTCAGGTCTCGAACCTGGTCGAAATTGCTGGCGAGCTTAGGCATTTATGCTTTATAGGTATTGGACTCCACATGTATAATAAATGGCAACGTAGTTTTATTTCGCTAACAGAGACAACTTTTTTGAACATTCGGACAAAAATGCTGTGAAGAAATTTATGGGATTAAGGTACAAGTTGAAAAATAACACTTGCAGCATGTATAGAAAATGTAAGAGACAAATATAGAAAGTTTAGAAATGTTAACTTTCAACAGACGGACTTGCACATACAACTCAGCCCATCCTCCTGTTTTAATAGTACTATTTGGAAAGATGAGGAGCATAGTACATATACCGACGTACAATGCAATTAGGAAGTAGAAATCGGTACTATTGAATTTGTTCAAACCGAAAAATCATTTTAAACTTATATTGCAAAGACAAATTATACTAACTTAACCTAATTTCCTAGGCCTAATACACGCTATCTGAGGCCTAATATAGTACATATGTGTGCTATACTAGGTCTAGGAATATATAAGTTGTTTTTTAACTTAATTTTTTTCGGAGTCCATAAAGTGAATAGTACAAAATTGTAATAATTGCGTAGTACGTCACTGTACTATGATGCACATAGTTACAAAAAATGCTATCTAAACAGGCGGATGGGTTGCATAACTTATGTAGCCTATCATTACCCAAAACACTATGTAATGCCTTTTATGCATAAACACTTTTGCGTAATACTGTCGCAAAAAAAAATAATATTCTGTTTTGTCCTTTGATTTATTTAAGATATATAACAGCAAAAGCCACGAAGAAAATCACACGAGAACAACGGAATGCACACAAGACAAAAAAGCAACGTATATCAAAATAAGAGAAAATACCCCAACCATGACTGCAGGTGAGAACAGAACATTCGATTATGAACTGGACACAACACACACGATGGACAAGAGCGTTAAGATAATTAGCAGAACACAGTTAAGAAACAGGAGACATCTGGACACAATGTAGAACAAGATGTAGTTGAACACACATGAACATGAGGCAACAGAACACTGAAGAATGAGACTACCGAGCACACATTTAAGAATATGATTAAGTAGAGCATACAATGACAAATATGATGGCGAACACAACACTAAAGAACACGAGACGACGTAGTGAAGGTGATGCAGACCACATAATGAGCTAGAAAAGGTGCACACAGTGAAGAACAGAAGGTAGCAGAACACAAAAGGAAGAACGAGAGAGCAGAATACGCAAGGAAGAACAAAATTAAGAGAAGATTCATAGGTATACCACCAGAACTGAGAGGTATGAGCTACGAGGAAAGGCTACGGGAGCTAAACCTCACGTCTCGAAGATAAAAGAGTAAGGGGAGACATGATCACCACCTACAAAATTCTAAGAGGAATTAACACGGTGGACAAAGACAAACTAATAAGCATGGGTGGAACTCGAATAAGGGAACACAGGTGGAAACTTAGTACCCAAATGAGCCACAGAGACAGTAGAAAGATTTTTTCTGTGTCAGAGTAGTTAACAGGTGGAATGCATTAGGCAGTGATGTGGTGTAGGCTGACTCCATACACAGTTTCAAATGTGATGTACTGGGCCTACTGGGCTCTAATGATAGAGCCCAGTAGGCTCAGGAATCTGTAGAACAGTTGACTGTCGAGTGGCGGGACCAAAGAGCCAGAGCTCAACCCCCGCAAACACAAGGCGAGTACAGGAAAGTAGGAAGAGAGCAGAACACAGGAGAGAGGAGGAAGAGAGCAGAATACAGGAGAAAGAAGGAAGAAGATAGCAGAACATAGGAGAAAGAAGGAAGAAGAGAGCAGAACACAGGAGAAAGAAGGAAGAAGAGAGCAGAACACAGGAGAAAGAAGGAAGAGAGCAGAACACAGGAGAAAGAAGGAAGAGAGCAGAACACAGGAGAAAGAAGGAAGAAGAGAGCAGAACACAGGAGAAAGAAGGAAGAAGAGAGCAGAACATAGGAGAAAGAAGGAAGAGAGCAGAACATAGGAGAAAGAAGGAAGAGAGCAGAACACAGGAGAAAGAAGGAAGAGAGCAGAACAAGATAACAAGAGAAGAACACTCAAGGTAGAACAACCAGCCACAAGACGCACCAGCAGGTGAAAGACACAGCCGCACAATAAATGTCAGACGAGAGCAGGAAACATAACGAACGCGGTTTGGTTTTTATCAACTCATTAAATAATATTTCATCTTTATTGTACCCTTCTCTGTTAAGTTTGTTCGTGGGTGACATTTTTATGCCAATTCTGTGTTTACCTGCCATATTTATCATGCTTATGGCTCCGGACCTTGAGTCATCAAGCATTCATGGCTCTTGGCATGCACTCGTCAAGCATTTATGGCTCTTGGCATGCACTCGTCAAGCATTTATGGCTCTTGGCATGCACTCGTCAAGCATTTATGGCTCTTGGCATGCAGTCGTCAAGCATTTATGGCTCTTGGCATGCAGTCGTCAAGCATTATGGCTCTTGGCATGCACTCATCAAGCATTATGGCTCTTGGCATGCACTCATCAAGCATTATGGCTCTTGGCATGCACTCGTCAAGCATTATGGCTCTTGGCATGCACTCATCAAGCATTATGGCTCTTGGCATGCACTCGTCAAGCATTTATGGCTCTTGGCATGCACTCATCAAGCATTATGGCTCTTGGCATGCACTCATCAAGCATTATGGCTCTTGGCATGCACTCATCAAGCATTATGGCTCTTGGCATGCACTCGTCAAGCATTATGGCTCTTGGCATGCACTCATCAAGCATTATGGCTCTTGGCATGCACTCGTCAAGCATTTATGGCTCTTGGCATGCACTCATCAAGCATTATGGCTCTTGGCATGCACTCGTCAAGCATTTATGGCTCTTGGCATGCACTCGTCAAGCATTTATGGCTCTTGGCATGCATTCATCAAGCATTATGGCTCTTGGCATGCAGTCGTCAAGCATTATGGCTCTTGGCATGCACTCATCAAGCATTATGGCTCTTGGCATGCACTCATCAAGCATTATGGCTCTTGGCATGCACTCGTCAAGCATTATGGCTCTTGGCATGCACTCATCAAGCATTATGGCTCTTGGCATGCACTCGTCAAGCATTTATGGCTCTTGGCATGCACTCGTCAAGCATTTATGGCTCTTGGCATGCACTCGTCAAGCATTTATGGCTCTTGGCATGCACTCGTCAAGCATTTATGGCTCTTGGCATGCATTCATCAAGCATTTACTACTCAGGATCTGGATTCATCAAGCAGTTAAGTGTCCGCTTACGAGACCCGCTCGAGGAAAGATGTAAAGGTTTCTTAAGTGGATGCATAAAAATTCTTGATGAATCCTGGTTCGCCAAATCAATAATTTCCCACATCTGAACATAAACTGCCTAGGTTGTAGGCTCTGACCTGGTCTGATACTCTCAAGACCTTATTCATGTCTTTCCTAGTGATACTTTTCATCCAAGTAAATACCTCTGTCCTCTCCCCCCCTCGCCCTGCCCCCCCCCCTCGCCTTGCCCCCCCCCCCCTTGTGCAGGAGGACAAGGATGGACATGCGGGGAGGGGGGGGGGGGCAGAAATCTGCACAGTAAAATAACAACATACTGGAGTGAACGATATGGAAGAAAATGCAGAATAGAACCATTGGAGAGCAGAGGTGCCATAGGCACAATCAGAGAACACTGTATAAACATCAGAGGTCCGCGGTTATTCAACGTCTTCCCAGCGAGTATAAGAAATATTGCCGGAACAACCGTGGCCATCTTCAAGAGAAAACTAGATAGTTTTCTTCAAGAATTGCCGGACCAACCGGGCTGTGGTGGATATGTGGGCCTGCGGGCAGCTCCAAGCAACAGCCTGTTGGACCAAGCTCTCACAAGTCAAGCCTGGCCTCGGGCCGGGCTTGGGGAGTATAAGAACTCCCAGAACCCCATCAAGTAGGTATCGTCTTGTCCCCCTTCATCCGGTCCCCCCCCTCGTCATGTTCCACTCGTCCTGCCCCACCCTCGTCCTGCCCCCCCCCCCTCCTCGTCCTCACTAGGATGAATCTTAGTGAGGATGGAATTTTTTATTGAGTGAGATTGTGTATTAGTGGAATTTGTCGTTTAATGCAGATAAGGGATGTGGGGTTCGACCCCACGCACCCCATGTACTGCCCATAACAAAGATCATTCACCTTGGAAAGTTTCGTAGCCCCACACGTCGGGCCCACCTACTTTGGACAAACAGAAACATTTCCCCTTATAGATATGTCATTAAAGAGAACAGGTTCGAGGACCATTCAAGCTTCTTCACATGTGTGGTACTCTGTGATCCCGACCTGCTCAGATGAGTGACATAACTGGCTATGTCTCCACGAGTGTAGCCAGGTGTTGCATGTGTGAGGAGCTCACGACCTTCGTATACTTATGTCTCGTTCGTTGTAAGTATTGTGTTCTTGGATTTAACGAAAGCTTATAACACTGCATGGTATTCTTCACTAGCATCCTTACAAGTTTTAATAGGGCTTTTAAAAAATATTGCGTCCATACGATGGGATCGAGCCTGCATCCCTTACACGTGAATATAGCCTAGTCACCTCATTCTCCTAAAAAGGAAGTACTTTTAGTAACTGTGAGGTTGAAAGTACCAATATGTAATGACGGACCAAAATAAATTAGACTTCTGTATTATTGAATGTTGACAAACTTGAAACTTTTGTTGTTATTAGGAACATAAAAATAAGACCTGACCTCTCCTAGCAATCCTAGGCCTAATACACGTTATCTTACCTTACGGTTACCTTGCGATGGTTTCGGGGCTTAGCGTCCCCGCGGCCCGGTCCTCAACCAGGCCTCCTGGTCGAGGCCTAGACCAATATTTAAGTTTTGGTTTTAGCTTTGTTTTTTTTTCCGGATTGAAAAATTATAATAGTGCAAAATTTTACTAGAGCTCTAATACTACATATTGATACTTTCAACCTAATAGAAAAAGCACTATCAAATCAGGTTAATGGGTCGATTCCAGTCGGCAGTGTGTGTGTGTGTGTGTGTGTGTGTGTGTGTGTGTGTGTGTGTGTGTGTGTGTGTGTGTGTGTGTGTGTGTGTGTTAAGTCCAGAGACACGGGTTCGATCCCATCATACGACCTCAATATTTTCTTATAGATCCATCTTGATTTCATTGTACACTGTTTTTAAGAGTTAAAATAAAAGGAGTTCTACCTTCTTGTTATTTCATACGGGAGGATAGTCACACAAGTGTTAGCAGCGTCACTGCCTTAGTAATTTCTGCTTCGAACTATAAGCGGCATTACATCGATTAGGATGTAAATAAACTCGGGTCACTCAAGTTCCCTTCCCCTTCTGTCATATTATACTATCAAGAGAAAGTTAAGTAAACTTAGAAGATTAGACACGTGGAAGATCAGGATTAAGATTTGGGATGTTGCCAGGATTTTGGATGACAATATAAGAACTATTGACGGAACAACCGTGGACACCTTCAAGAGAAAACTAGATAGTTTCTTCAAGTAGTGTCGGACCAATTGGGTAGTGATGGATATGTGGGCCTGCGGGCCGCCCAAGCAACAGCCTGTTGGACCATGCTCTCACAAGTCAAGACTGGCCCCGGGTCGGGCCCAGAACCCCATCCAGGTACAATCGAGGTACGGGAGGAAGGAGTAGTGCCCATCCACTTGGACGGTCGGGGATTGAACACTGACCTGTATGAAGTGAGACAGTCGCTCAACTGTCAGCCCATGGGATTGGACATGTAACAGGGACACAGGTACCTGGTTGATGGGGTTCTGGGAGTTCTTCTACTCCCCAAGCCCGGGCCGAGGCCAGGCTTGACTTTTGAGAGTTTGGTCCACTAGGCTGTTGCTTGGAGCGGCCCGCAGGGCCACATACCCACCACAGCCCGGTTGGTCCGGCACTCCTTGGAGGAATAAATCTTGTTTTCTCTTGAAAATGTCCATGGTTGTACCGGCAATATTTCTTATGCTTGCTGGGAGATGTTACTAGTTTCTTTATAGAAAACGCTTGGGGTGTATTGCCATACAAATGTGCATTAAACAGTGACTTTATTGAAACAAAAACAATAACAAAGGCTGTACCGAGACTAAACTTCAGTGACACTTAGTTATAGGAAGGTTGTGGCTTGTATGCTGGTTCAGGTGTGTATGAGGGCTGTGGGTACACGGGCTTGGGTGTGTACGAGGGCTGGTGTGGGTATGAGGGCTGAGCTTTAAAGGTGACGGGAGGTCCGTATTCGTGAGGGTGCTGGGCTTCTCCTTTATACTCCACGTTGGCTACGTAGCCCTTGTAGTGGTCCGCTTCGTATTGAACCTGATTTATAAATATTTATTAGTTTTGACATCAATAACAGAGAGAATCTGGTTAGGCATTAACATCATTAAGTGATATGTGTATTGTATATCTTTTTCTGGATAAGGACGTTAAAAGTCTTTTACCGTCTGCTTGCGTCCGTCGGGAAGATCGACATTGTAGGAGCCACGGACGGTGTTGCCGTCGGAGTTCTCACTGTGGCCGAAGTTGGTGCCGGAGTAGTCGTCCTTAACATTGTACTGGAAGTCGTGTGGCATACCCGGCTGGTGAATGAGATACATTCAATATTAATGAAACATTTAAATTATTTACACAAGGACAATTTTATATGTAGATAAGTTAAATGAATCAGAATTGGCATGAATATAAGTGATACGCATTGAACAATTTTATCCATAATAGACCTGTTTGTATCCGGAATGTACAGATGGGGGCCTGTAGTGGTCTGAGGCTTGTGTAAGAGCCACTCCCGCCATCACCACCAGCGCCACCTGCAAGGAGATACACACAAACATGCCCATCAAAACATAGATGCATTAAACATTAATTTGAAATTAAATGTCCTGTAATTGTCATAGATTCATTATGCTCCATATCTCTTGGCATACGAGTTCCTACCTTGTATTTTTGTCATTATCAATTCTTGAACTTGTGTATGTGTTAGACATAGGGACGAATCCTGTCATACATAAATCATCGCGCTATAATATTAGCTGTCAGACACACTTCTACTTGAATAGGGTGAGCACTAACATTATATCATGTTAGCGACCTTTCTCTATTACTTAGTAGGTTCTTACCTCATTCCATGCCTATTTAGTTATTAAAAATATAAAGTTGAATTTTGTAAAGATAAAAAATTTGAGATAATTTAATGTTATGACGAACCTTGAGAGCCATGTTGAGTGTGTTGTTGGATGGTGAGTGATGGTGGTGTACAGTCCGCGTCTGGCTTTATACTCACCATCCTCTCTCCTGGACCTTCCTGTCCCCGTTCTCCAACACCAGCTGTCGTACGTCAGGCAGATGTGTGAGGTGTGGTGCAGTAGTTCATTATTTTCCCGAAATTATATATTTAAGAAAATTGTATAGCTCATGTCGTCTGTTGTCTCCTGAGAGTTAAAGCCCGGAGTCATTTGTGGGATATTAGTGCTCTAGCAAACCATTGCATGAAAGTTAGGCGGAAAACTCTGGTTCATTTACTGTAATTTGACATTTGTGGACGGTTCTAATGGTTAAGGGAGTTACATGGGTTGCTTATTTAGTAACGTTAACGCCAACCTACAAGGCCTGTTGACATTAAATCCCCGACCGTCGTAGCGGTTAGGCACCTTTCCTTTCTGTCGTCCCTTCCCAGGTCCTTATCCTGATCCCTTCCAAATGCTATATAGCCGTAATGGCATGGCGCTTTCTCCTGATAGTTCCCTTCTCTTCTATGCTGTTCTTTATAATTCTCCATTTTCCTATTCGTTACTATGCTTGCAGTTTCATTCATTACTATATTCTCGAATTAGGAAGGTTGGCTACTTCTTTGCTGGTAAACACCGAGGATAAATAATTGTTTAATATATTTCTCGTTCCTGTCCCGTTATTTATCAGTTGCCTCGTTTTTGTTTGCCGAGACCCTGTTTTCTCCTCCATTAATTTGGTCAAATTGGGAAAAGCTTCAGGCATTGGACACTGCCCTAAGGTTTTCTTACCTGTCCACTACGAGTTATTACGGGAGCCTTACCACATGATGGGACCCTCTCCACATGATTGGAGCCTCGCCACATGATTGGAGCCTCGCCACATGATTGGAGCCTCGCCACATGATGGGAGCCTCACCACATGATGGGACCCTCGCCACATGATGGGACCCTAACCACATGATGGGACCCTCGCCACATGATTGGAGCCTCGCCACGTGATGGTACCCTCGTCACATGATGGGGACCCTCGCCACATGATGGGATCCTCGCCACATGATGGGACCCTCGCCACATGATGGGACCCTCGCCACATGATTGGAGCCTCGCCACATGATGGTACCCTCGTCACATGATGGGGACCCTCGCCACATGATGGGATCCTCGCCACATGATGGGGACCCTCGCCACATGATGGGATCCTCGCCACATGATGGGATCCTCGCCACATGATGGGACCCTCGCCACATGATGGGACTCTCGCCACATGATGGGAGCCTCGCCACATGATGGGATCCTCACCACTTGATGGGACCCTCGCCACATGATGGGGACCCTCGCCACATGATGGGATCCTCGCCACATGATGGGACCCTCGTCACATGATGGGACCCTCGTCACAAGATGGGACCCTCGTCACATGATGGGACCCTCGCCACATGATGGGACCCTCGCCACATGATGGGACCCTCGCCACATGATGGGACCCTCACCACATGATGGGACCCTCGCCACATGATGGGGACCCTCGCCACATGATGGGATCCTCGCCACATGATGGGACCCTCGCCACTTGATGGGACCCTCTCCACATGATGGGGACCCTCGCCACATGATGGGATCCTCACCACTTGATGGGACCCTCGCCACATGATGGGACCCTCGCCACATGATGGGATCCTCACCACTTGATGGGACCCTCGCCACATGATGGGGACCCTCGCCACATGATGGGATCCTCACCACATGATGGGACCCTCGCCACATGATGGGGACCCTCGCCACATGATGGGGACCCTCGCCACATGATGGGACCCTCGCCACATGATGGGGACCCTCGCCACATGATGGGGACCCTCACCACATGATGGGACCCTCGCCACATGATGGTAATCTTTTCCACCATCGCCCACTGGATGGGTGTAAGCCAGGTCCATGGTTAATTGAACTACATGTAACTGGCCCACTACAAATGTAAGCTGCTCAGCTTAGAGACTGTTGTGGTCCAGGTCTTGAACCATCTTTAAAAGACTACTGATATTGAGATTTCTGAAAGAGAGAATACAGTGAATATATACGGCACGCATAGACACAATAAAACATCTAAAATACTAGGACCAAAGCTTTCAAAAAGTACTCTCTGGAAAGGAGTCGAGACATCAAATAATACATGTAATATACTGGAGGGTCAGGCCCCAAATTTGCACAGTAGAATAACAACATACTGGAGCTAAACATATGGAAGGAAATGCAGAATAGAATTAGTGAGGAGTAGAGGTGCCATAGGCACAATAAAAGAGTACAATCAAGAGGTCCATGACTGTTCAACACCCAGCAAGCATTATAAATATAGCCCGAACAAAGGTAGAAGTCTTTAAGAAGGACTTTGATTAGTTCCTGTAAGAAGTGCTTTGCCAACCGGGTTGTAGTGGATATGTGGTCCTGCGGGTTGCGCCAAGCAACAACCTGTTGGAAAAAGTTATCGCAGGTCGAGCCTGGCCCCAGGCCGGACTCAGGGAGAAGAAGAACTCTCGGAACCCTCTCCAGGTATGTTCCAAGTATATACATTAAAATATGTAACTCGCTTATAAAATCTGTTACTTAGCTAAATCAATTTTGGGGTTCAGTTCGTGAGCCCATTTTGTGCCTCTGTAATCTTTTCCACTATGTACCCACGGGATGGGTATGGGGTCCACTACCTTACACGGAATTAGTATGGGGTCCACTACACCCACATGAATGTATGGGGTCCACTACACCAACGGGAATGTATGGTGTCCACTACACCCACATGAATGCATGGGATCCACTTCACCCACATGAATGTATGGGTCCGCTACACCCACATGAATGTATGGGGTCCGCTACACCCACATGAATGTATGGGGTCCACTACCCCACATGAATGCATGGGGTCCACTATAACCGTATGAATGTATGGGGTCTACTCACATGAATGTATGGGTCCTCTACACCCATATGAATGTATGGGGTCCACTACACCCACATGAATGTATGGGGTCCGCTACACCCACAGAATGGATATGTGGTCCATTAACTCCCACTGGATGGGTATAGAGTTCACATCCGCCCATAGGATGAATATGGGGTCTCCTATACTGAAGGGTAAAGGGCTAATTTTCGCGGAGAGGATTCGTGTGGAGTCCACGATCGCCCACAGGATGGGTATAGGACGCATAACAAGATGTAACACAATTATGGTTCTTGGATATTGTGTTATTTACTGATTACGTGTGCCTCAAAACCATATAAATAATAGATATCCACTCAAACTTTGTTTATGTCACAAGACAGTCACATTTTGAAAGTTACTTATTGTCAATATAATTTGCATGTTTTTGTTTCTGTTGTTGTCCTTGCTGTCCCAAAGGCAAAGATAGCAGAGAAACCTGGTGAAGCTGCTTTGGAGATCTATCAGGAGTGCCGCCATTTTTAAGTAGCCAATGAGGTCCCAGCGGTATTCAACGTACTTCAAAGAAAATGATAGAAAAATGTGTCTGATCTGTAACTATCATCTGGCGTCATTGGGGACTGGGTTTCACTGAAAAGCCGCCCAATTTCCAGTCCTTTTAATGATCTGATGATCATTGGATGACAATATAAAAAATATTCCCGGAACAAACGTGGACACCTAGAGAAAACTAGATAGTTTCCTTCAAGAAATTCCGGACCAATTGGCCTGTGATGGATATGTGGGCTTGTGAGCCGCTCCTAGCAACAGTCTGTTGAACCAAGCTCTCACAAGTTGGACGGGCGGGGATTGAACACCGACCTGCATGAAGTGAGACCATCGTTCTTCTGTCAGCCCATGGCATTGGGCATGTAGCAGGACACAGGTGTTACTAGTTTATACAAAACGCTTGGGGTGTATTGACAGAAAATGTGCATTGAACAGTGAGTTTATTGAAACAAAAACATAACAAAGGCTGTACAGAGACTAAACTTCAGTGACACTTAGTTATAGGAAGGTTGTGGTTTGTATACTGGTTCAGGTGTGTATGAGGGCTGTGGATACACGGGCTTGGGTGTGTACGAGGGCTGGTGTGGGTATGAGGGCTGAGGTTTAAAGGTGACGGGAGGTCCGTATTCGTGAGGGTGCTGGGCTTCTCCTTTATACTCCACGTTGGCTACGTAGCCCTTGTAGTGGTCCGCTTCGTATTGCACCTGATTTATAAATATTTATTAGTTTTGACATCAATAACAGAGAATTTGGTTAGATATTAACATTATTAAGCGATATGTGTATTGTACATCTTTATCTGGATAAGGACGCTAAAAGTCTCTTACCGTCTGCTTGCGTCCGTCAGGAAGATCGACATTGTAGGAGCCACGGACGGTGTTGCCGTCGGAGTTCTCACTGTGGCCGAAGTTGGTGCCGGAGTAGTCGTCCCTAACATTGTACTGGAAGTCGTGTGGCATACCCGGCTGGTAAATGAGATACATTTACAATAAAAATATTTGATGAATGTTGAAAGTGTTATTTACACAATAAATCGGACTTGGCATGGATATAAGTGATAAGCATTGAAAATTTTTATCCATAATAAACCTGTTTGTATCCGGAATGTACAGATGGGGGCCTGTAGTGGTCCGAGGCTTGTGCAAGAGCCACTCCCGCCATCACCACCACCACCAGCGCCACCTGCAAGGAGACACAAACATGCCCATCAAAACATAGATGCATTAAACATTAATTTGAAATGAAATGTCCAATAGTTGTCATAGGCTCATTATGCTCTATATCTCGTAGCATACTAGTTCCTACCTTGTATTTTAGTCATTATCAATTCTTGAACTTTTGTGTATGTGCCAAACATAAGGACGATGCCTGTCATACATAAATTATCGCTCTGTAATATTAGCTGTCAGGCAGTTGTCAGACACGCTTCACTTGAATATGGTGAGCACTAACATTATATCATGTTAGCTACCCTTCTCTATTAGTAGGTTCTTACCTCTCTCTCCATGCTTCTTTAGTTATTACAAATATAAGGTGAATTTTGTAAAGCTAAAAAATTTGAGATAATTTAATGTTTTGACGAACCTTGAGAGCCATGTTGAGTGTGTTGTTGGATGGTGAGTGATGGTGGTGTCCAGTCCGCGTCTGGCTTTATACTCACCATCCTCTCTCCTGGACCTTCCTGTCCCCGTTCTCCAACACCAGCTGTCGTACGTCAGGCAGATGTGTGAGGTGTGGTGCAGTAGTTCATTATTTTCCCGAAATTATATATTTAAGAAAATTGTATAGCTCATGTCGTCTGTTGTCTCCTGAGAGTTAAAGCCCGGAGTCATTTGTGGGATATTAGTGCTCTAGCAAACCATTGCATGAAAGTTAGGCGGAAAACTCTGGTTCATTTACTGTAATTTGACATTTGTGGACGGTTCTAATGGTTAAGGGAGTTACATGGGTTGCTTTTTAAGTAACAAATATTTACAAATTTAAACAATACTCTTATCCTTCTACCGATAGCAATGCTTTTTGCTAGGTCATAGTGTTGTTAAGTTGATGCATTGTAGGAATTCCATTTTTTTAATTTACTTTGAAATCGTGCTGATGAAATATTTAATCCTGTGAGAATAGCTTGTTATTTTTACAACATCTTAACGTTTCACTGTGTTATAAGCGACTTTGTTTTCTAGAGCGACGTTACCCATTAAGTCGTAATTGACCACACAAAAAAATAATTTCACACTAATGGCTTCATAGGTAAGTTCTGGAGTCACTTCCGTAAAAGAGTAGCCTAGAAAAGTGACGATTTGTTCCCCACTTTGTCATCTAAGTAGCTTGACGAAAATAAAGAATATTTATAATTTCGTTTGAGAATCACACTTTACTACGAAATATATTGACTGCAGCCCGTCCTCATCAGCATGACTCGTCCTCGTCAATATGACACATCCTCATCAACATGGTCAATCCTCATGAGCACAGCCCGTCCTCATCAACATGGCCAATCCTCATGAGCACAGCCCGTCCTCATCAACATGGCCAATCCTCATCAACACAGCCCGTCCTCATCAACATGGCCAATCCTCATCAACATGGTCAATCCTCATCAACACAGCCCGTCCTCATCAACACAGCCCGTCCTCATCAACATGGCCAATCCTCATCAACATGGTCAATCCTCATCAACACAGCCCATCCTCATCAACATGGTCAATCCTCATCAACACAGCCCGTCCTCATCAACATGGTCAATCCTCATCAACACAGCCCATCCTCATCAACAATGGCGAAATGGTCGTTAATCCAACCGCCAATCCTTTCCCTTTTCGGTGTACGAATAAAACACTTCACACACGACTCTCAACCGATGACTTAACAACATTTCCAACAGCGCCTCGCTGACAACCTCTACGAATCTCACAGCTGTAAATGCTTCTCCAGTGCACAATGTAAAAAAAAAAAATCAACAAAATTTAAACACCTAACCATATTTAGGTTTAACTATTAAAATGTTATTTTACCTAGGAAAAAAACTGATTGTAATATAGTTAAGATTTATTAATTGTATATATTCCTGGCCTGGCCTGGGGTCGGCAGCTGTATGGACGAGTATAATCTAAGAATGGATTGATTATTCTTCATTCGGACAATGCTTTATGGGGCGTTTTCGGATTATTTATTGACCTAAATATAATGAAAGTTACAATAAATTATATATTCTATCACAATTATATTCAACACAAAATAGACAAATTACGCTGTTCATTTTTACCTAATCTAATAAGTTATTTTAGATTAATTTACTTGAATTTACCTGAGGGTCACTATCTCCCTAGGGGCCTCGACGAGAGTAGGAAGCCGGCGGGTTGTCGAAGGTCTCGCTGCTGATTTTGTCGAGCAGGATTTTGACATTCTGCATTGTTTTGGCATTTACGGCTTCGGCGAGTAAGCGGTTCCATTTGTTTACTATCTCTGGCTCTTTACCAATAACTGTTTATACATATGCACCCAGTTGTCTGTTGACAGCCCCTTCTCACTATTTGACACTGTAAAAAATGCAATGGTTTTGCTTAACTAAAAACGCTTAAACCTTAGCAACCCACGAAACCCATCGAGGCCGATGCTCAGATAACCTCAATATTACGATGCTTTAGTTTTTTATAAAGCGCTACAATTTTGACGGATTGGTTGATTGCGTTACAATGTGATGCATTAGGTGAGAGGACAGGTTATGTAGAGGTATCTGTCCAGAAGATTAAGGTAAACTTCTGCTTAATTAAGCTTGTGTAACAACCTTGGTTACAAGTTGCATATTGTGTGATGTCTTACACACTTATGCTCCAGCGACGGATGAATGTGTACATGTTTAAGCTCCAGCGACGGATGAATGCGTACATGTTTAAGCTCCAGCAATGGATGAATGTGTACATGTTTTAAGCTCCAGCAATGGATGAATGCGCTTAGATTTACGCTCTAGCACATTGATGTTCAGTTGGATATCACAACCCTTCCTCCAAATATTATGCAACCTGTACTCACTATGGTTCAAAATATGAACTGCTGTATAAAAAAGTTCACATTTGGTACTATTGGAATTATTGAAGGGCTTAAACAAAATTGGAAGAGTAATTATAGTTACTCACAAGCTTGAATTAGCAATTTTACGCTGAACATATTAGGCCTCATTGCAAGAATGGCTTCGAAGGGGTGCAAACAACGAAAAAAGAGTAAAGAATCACAGCATTAGAAAATCCATAGTTTGACGGAGTCCAGGCTATAAAGCTCAATCCTGCAACGTCGGGGATTGAACGCCGACCTACACGAAGCAAGACCGTCACTCTACCGTCCAGCCCAAATGCTTGGACAAGTAGTTTTTGGGCACCATTCCTTCTCCCCGTCCCATCCCAAATCCTTATCCTGATCCCTTCCCAGTGTCATATAGTCATAATGGTTTGGCGCTTTCTCCTGATAGTTCCCTTCCCTACTATATCTCAGTTAGGTAAATTTTTTTTTTTACACAGGTGGATATAGGATTAGACGACTTGCCTTTGTGTGATTCTGGGGGTCAGGGGGTTCCCGCGGCCTCTGATCAGATCTCTGACCAGGCCTCTTGGTTGACGGTCTGGTCAACCAGGCTGTTCGACGCGGCTGATCGCAGCCTGACGCATGAATCACAGCCTGGTTGATCAGGTATCCTTTGGAGGTGCTTATCAAGTTCTCTTGAACACTGTGAGGGGTCGGCCAGTTATGCCTCATGTGTGTAGTGGAAGCGTGTTGGACAGTCTCGGGCCTCTGATGTTGATAGAGTTCTCTCTGAGTATCTGTTGCACCTCTGCTTTTCAACAGGAGTATTCTGCACATCCTGCCATGCCTCCTGGTCTCGTGTGGTGTTATTTGTGTGTTCAAATTTGGGACCAGCCTCTCTAATATTTTCCTTGTGTAAATTATTGTGCATCTCTCCCGCCTGCGCTCTAGAGAATACAGATTTAGGCTTTTGAGTCGGTCCCAGTAATTTAGATGGGTTATTGAGTGGATTCTAGCTGTGAAGGATCGCTGCGCGCACTTCAGGTCAGCAATTTTTCCAGCTTTGACAAGGGCTGTCATTGTGCAACAGTATTCCACTTTAGAGAGCACTAGCGTTTTGAAGAGTATCATCATTGGTACGGCATCTCTTGTTTGAAAGGTTCTATTATCCAACTAGTTATTTTTCTAGCAGTTGTGACGGCTTAATTTTTCTGTTCTTTAAAGCTAAGGTTTTCTGCCATGATTATACCCAAATCCTTTACATTGTTGTTACGTTCAATGTTATGAATTGACTGCGTTTTGTACGTGGTTTCCGTCTTTATATATTTCTCTTTCTCTAATTTCTCTTCATTAAATACCATATTATTTTCTGTAGCCCTTTGAAAGAATGAACGACCACTAAGACCTGTTCACAGACTGAGAGCTTTCCCATAGCTCATGGGGAACCTTTCCCACTAGTTTCCATGGAATTTAACCCACCAATCATTTAACAACTAGGTATCCAGTCACTGCTGGGTGATCGGAGGCATACTGTTAAGGACTGGTACCTAGACAATCCTCCCCCGGCCAGGATACAAACTAAGGCCAAATCGCTTCCGGGGCGAGTGTGTTTCCACTGCACCACTGGGTGCTGATTAACACCCACCCATTATGGTAAAGAAGACCATACTGTGTATCTTTATTCACCTAGTTGTGTTTGCGGGGGTTGAGCTCTGCTCTTTCGGCCCGCCTCTCTATTGTCAATCAACTGTTTCTACTACTCCCCCCCCAAACACACACACACCAGGAAGCAGCCCGTGACAGCTGACTAACTTCCAGGTACTTATTTACTGCTAGGTAACAGGGGCATAGGGTGAAAGAAACTCTGCCCATCGTTTCTCTCCGGCGTCCGGGATCGAACCCGGGACCACAGGTTCACCTGTCCAGCGTGCTGTCTGCTCGGCCACCGGCTCCCTGAGGCGGTGTGTACACATCTGTGTTCCCATTATATTATTCATCACCTTTGCGCTCAACATCAGTTGGTTTGGTCAGAGGCAAACCAGTATGAGCATTGGTACTTTGAACCATGTAAAGTTAACGATGCAAGTCATGGAGACACTTTTTATAATAATTAGTATTAGCTTTAGTGTGTAAAGCTAAGTGTAAAGCAACATAGTACCCTACCTCTTCCCCTAGAATACCTACTTTTCTGTTCTTACATGCACTCATGCGCATTCCATATCAGTATCGACATCAGTTCTTAATAAAATGGTCCAATTAAGTATGATTAAAGTAAATTGTCTATTTTGTGTTTTTCTTGTACACACATTTTTCCACAGAATATAACTAAATCGGATATATATTTAATTAAGGAGAATAAGATTAATTGAGCAATGATTTGGATGTATTCAAACACTTAAATCTCTAGTAACATTGCAATTAACAATGACGAAGGTTTAACTTAACGTCTTCCGTAACACAACTGTGTGAATTGGGTGTGTGGGAGGCTGGTATGTGGGCTGGGCCTGTTATGCAGACTGGGGTTGGTCTGTAGAGTGGGGTTAGTATATGGATTGGGGCTGTGATCTGGGGTGGGACTGGTTTTAGGACTGGTATGAAGGCTGGGGCTGGTATGATGGCTGGGGCTGGTGGTATGATGGCTGGGGCTGGTATGATGGCTGGGGCTGGTGGTAGGATGGCTGGGGCTTGAATGTTACTGCCGGACCGGACTGGTGGGCATACTGGGCCTCGCCATAGTACTCCACGTTGGCAGTGAAACCCTTGTGGTGGTCTGCTTCGTATTTCACCTAACGTAGAAAACATTTTTATTATTATTAAACTTTAGCAGTTTTGAATACTGATGTTTAATATGGAGATTTTTAAGATTAGGAAGAACAATTTTATACAAAAAACGTCTCTTACCGTTTGCTTGCGTCCGTCGGGAAGGTCGACATTGTAGGAGCCACGGACGGTGTTGCCGTCGGAGTTCTCACTGTGGCCGAAGTTGGTGCCGGAGTAGTCGTCCCTAACATTGTATACGAAGTTGTGTGGCATACCCGGCTGGATCAGCATATGCATACAATACATGCTTACTACACATATTCATAAGTAATATTTATAGTATAGTTTATACTTGCACATACATACAAATGCACTCATGTATTAAATTTTATAACTATTCGATGTATTAGAATAGCAGCAAATCAGTTACCAACCTGCTTATATGGTGAATGAGTAGGGTGACGACCATAGGTAGGCGGGGGTTCGGCCACAGCCACTACCACCGCCATCAGCAGGACCACAGTCACCTGTCCCAGAAGGAAGGTTTTGTATTCTAAGTAAAATTCATTATGTACCCCATACCTATTCTATGAGTGGTAGTGAACCCGAGACCCATCATGTGAGTAGGTGGGAAAAAGTTAGAGACTGCTGTTGTTGCTGTTTTAGATTCAGCTACTCAGAACCAAAGTTCCAAGTAGCACAGGCTATGGTGAGCCCATAGTGGACTTACCTGGTACAGGAGCGGGGCTGTAACTCCGATAAGTTAGAGGCACTTTGTGGGCTCAGGAACTAAAGGCTAATATATGTATTAAGCCAGTTACAGCTCTGATGAGATAGTTACAATTTTTGTTTACAGATGCATCAACAGTGAACGCTTTGTCATTTAATTTACCGTTCACGACATCTATTTAACTAAATGTTGAAAATTAGTGTTTGTCCGTAGGTCAAATATGTAATCAGTGTCTGGGCTTCTTTGTATACTTTGTTTCTTCTTCTTTTTAATATGGATTTAGCATAGAAATTTTAATTTTTTGATGGCGGACAGGAATTATTTTGATCAATTCGATTGTTAGGAGAGTAACAACTAAACTAATATATATATATATATATATATATATATATATATATATATATATATATATATATATATATATATATATATATATATATATATTATAAAAGGATTCACAATCCTCTTCGTGACGGTTGTAAATATTCATAGACCTATAGCACGAACCTTAAGAGCCATGTTTAGTGTGTTGTTGGATGGTGAGTGATGGTGGTGTCCAGGCCGCGTCTGGCTTTATACTCACCATCCTCTCTCCTGGACCTTCCTCTCCCCTGCTCTCCATCATCAGCTGTTATAATTCTGGCAGTTGTTCATACATTGTACAAAAATTATATATTTAGACACTGTATTCGTCATGTCGTGTGTTCTTACAATTAAACATTTCTGAATGTTTGTAAGAGCCATCGGAGCCAGATTTGTTGCATTTAAGTTATATATTAATCTAAAAATGATACCCTTCATAGCGATATTAATTCTTTTTGGTAGAGTATGTTATTGATTTAAGTTTGTGTATTGTATGGATTCTACATTTTTTTTTAATTCGAGTTGGTGAGTAAATATATTCTTTACTGAGATTAGCTTATAATTTATCCGCCATCATCATTTTTCACTGTGTTATGAGAGGTTTTGTTCACTAGAATGACGTTACCGATTAAGTCGTAACTGACTAGAAAAAACTAAGTTTTCACATTAAAGGCACTAAGGTCAAGTTCTGGAACCACTTCCGTAAAAGAGTAGCTTAGACATGTGACGATTTGTTACCCACTTCGTCGCCTGAGAGACTCTGAACGAAAACACAAATATTTCACCTTTTCGTAGGAGGTTCATTTATAAACACAAAATTTATTACATATGCATTGTCTGGGAAATACGATATTAAGTGTTTTTAAATATTTGACCAAAATCTAGTGAAGACTAACAAATAAGTTATATATTCTTAGTAGAATTAGTTAATTTTCACTCAGTCATATAAATTATTTGTTTATATATATGCTTCCAGTTGTGCGTAGACCAGATCGTAAAAAAGGCAATGGTTTTGCTTAACCAGAAACGTTTGAACCTTAGCAACCCACCTAACCCATCGAGGCCGATGCTCAGATAACATCAATATTACGGTGCTGTAGTTTTTGCTAAAGCCCTACAATTTTGACGGATTGGCTGATTGCGTTATAATATGATGCATTAGGGGAGAGGACAGGTTGGGTAGAGGTACCTGTCCAGAAGGTTAAGGTAAATTTACGCTTAATTAAGGTAGTGTAACCTTCCTGGTTACAAGTTACATGTTGTGATGTCTTACACTTATGCTCCAGCGACGGATGAATGTGTACATGTTATGTTCCAGTGAGGGATGAATGTGAACATGTTTATGCTTCAGTTAGAAATGAATGTGGACATAGTTATGCTCCAGTTAGAAATGAATGTGCATTTCTATGCTCCAGCGAGGGATGAATGTGTGCATTCTTATGTATGCAGTAAATGATGAATATGCTTATATTAATGCTCTAACACATTAATGACCAATAGGATATCACAAGCTATCCCTGCAAGCATTTTACAATCTATAGTTACTATGGATGGTATGGTTAAAATATGACCTGCTGTATAAAAACGTTCACTTCGTTTACTAATAGAATTGCTGTAGAGCAAAACAAAAATTCGAAGTGTAATTATAGTTATTCTGTCATAACTTGTTAGGACTTGAATTAACCATTCAAGTCCTAACCTGTTAGGCCTGATTTAGCACATATATGTAGTAAGCCTAGGAGAAGTTTGGTTTGCTTATTGTCTTGTTTCTAGGGCCCTATAGAAAATTAATAGTACAAGAATTCAAGTAACTATGTTCAAAAATCAGTTTATAATTACTAGCGCTTTGCATGGTGATTAGATCTGGAGATGATATTTATTCACGATTACAATCTCACAATCAGCGTTGTCACAATAAAAGAGGTAATGTAATAAAGATAAATGTAACCTTTTTCAGAACTTTAATATTCCAGTAATATGTGTATTATCTATCTGGTATCTCTTCTAAAAAAGACTCATCCCTAGTAAATTAATACAAACAGTTCAATATAAATACCATTTAATGCATTTCACATTACTTGCGTAATTATTAATTCATAACTTAAAATGCAAATTTATAATCGTTTGTTTATGCCACATCTTTATGATGAGCTTCGGTTTATCACAGCATCATCTCACCCCTAAGATGAATCACGATTGATCACATCTTTGCACCCAAAAGATTTAAGAATCCTCGGCTCCCGTGCCATATATATATATATATATATATATATATATATATATATATATATATATATATATATATATATATATATATATATATATAATATATAATATATGGATAGATGTAACCCCAATAATTTTGCCTTCGTTCTCTTTGCACTGGTTCATCTGTGTGACTAGCTGGACCTAAACGTTTTGTCTCTAGTTCCGCGATTTCCGTAAGAATTTTAAGTCTGGATCATATCTCTGCTATATTACGTTTCATTGTCGTTAGTGTGCCTCCTTCAGTCACTCTTGGTAGCTAAATCGCCTCAATTCTGAGACGCATTTTTGTACTTTGGTAATTCGTTGTATTTTCGCTATTTTTTTATTATCAATGTGGCTAATAAACCCTGATGGATCTGTTATTAATTTGTCTGAGAATGTGCTTTTATAATTTTGGGGGGGGGGAAGATGGAAGGGGTGCTAACGGTGAAAATGATAAAGAATTACACCATTAGACAATCCATAGTTACATGGGGTCCATTATCTGAAGCTCGGCTTGGTAAGTATCTTTACGGATTCTGAATGTTAAGAACATTCATGGTTTTCATCGCCGCTGCTCTGGACATCAGCTGGTCGGGTCAGGGTCGACTGGGTCGGATCGGACCCTGTAAGAACACTGGTAATGTGGTGGAGGCTGACTCCATATACAATTTTAAATGTAGATATGATAGAAACTCGTGAAGCTCAGGAACCTGTACATCAGTAGATTGACGGTTGAGAGACGGGACCAAAGAGCCGCAGCTTAACCCCTGCAAGCACAACTAGGGGATTACTGGTCCATCGAACCACGTCAAGTTAACCATACAAGTCAAGGCGAACTTTTATTTATAATGTATCATTAGCTTTGTTCAGGCTCTTCCTACCTTGACTTCTAAAATACCTGCTTTCTATTCTCATACGCCTTCATGAGTATCTCATATCATTATTGACATAAGAGCTTAATAAAATAGTAGAATTCCGCATAATTAAATAAATTTATATTTTTGTGTATCAATTTACACATTTCGTAACAGAACATGTTTATATATATATATATATATATATATATATATATATATATATATATATATATATATATATATATATATATATATATATATATATATATATATGTCGTACCTAGTAGCCAGAACGCACTTCTCAGCCTACTTTGCAAGGCCCGATTTGCCTAATAAGCCAAGTTTTCCTGAATTAATATATTTTCTCTAATTTTTTTCTTATGAATATATATATATATATATATATATATATATATATATATATATATATATATGTCGTACCTAGTAGCCAGAACGCACTTCTCAGCCTACTTTGCAAGGCCCGATTTGCCTAATAAGCCAAGTTTTCCTGAATTAATATATTTTCTCTAATTTTTTTCTTATGAACTGATAAAGCTACCCATTTCATTATGTATGAGGTCAATTTTATTTTATTGGAGGTAAAATTAATGTAGATATATGACCGAACCTAACCAACCCTACCTAACCTAACCTAACCTATCTTTATAAGTTAGGTTAGGTAAGGTAGCCGAAAAAGTTAGGTTAGGTTAGGTAGGTTAGGTTGTCGAAAAAACATTAATTCATGAAAACTTGGCTTATTAGGCAAATCGGGCCTTGCATAGTAGGCTGAGAAGTGCGTTCTGGCTACTAGGTACGACATATATATATATATATATATATATATATATATATATATATATATATATATATATATATATATATATGTACCTAACCTAACTTTTTCGGCTACCTAACCGAACCTATCCTATAAAGATAGGTTAGGTTAGGTTAGGTAGGGCTGGTTAGGTTCGGTCACATATCTACGTTAATTTTAACTCCAATACAAAAAAATTGACCGCATACATAATGAAATGGATAGCTTTATCATTTCATAAGAAAAAATTTAGAGAAAATATATTAATTCAGGAAAACTTGGCTTATTAGGCAAATCGGGCCTTGCATAATAGGCTGAGAAGTGCGTTCTGGCTACTAGGTACGACATATATATATATATATATATATATATATATATATATATATATATATATATATATATATGTCGTACCTAGTAGCCAGAACTCACTTCTCAGCCTACTATGCAAGGCCCAATTTGCCTAATAAGCCAAGTTTTCCTGAATTAATATTTTTTCTCTAATTTTTTTCTTATGACATGATAAAGCTACCCATTTCATTATGTATGAGGACAATTTTTTTTTATTGGAGTTAAAATTAACGTAGATATATGACCGAACCTAACCAACCCTACCTAACCTAACCTAACCTATCTTTATAGGTTAGGTTAGGTTAGGTAGCAGAAAAAGTTAGGTTAGGTTAGGTTAGGTAGGTTAGGTAGTCGAAAAACAATTAATTCATGAAAACTTGGCTTATTAGGCAAATCGGGCCTTGCATAGTAGGCTGACAAGTGCGTTCTGGCTACTAGGTACGACATATATATATATATATATATATATATATATATATATATATATATATATATATATATATATATAATATTATTTATTTTGAATAAGGAAAATAATATTAATAGATCAATGCTTTTGATATATTCTAACACTTAAGTCTCTAGTAACATTACAATTAACAATGACCAGGATTATTTGGGAACTTTAACATGTTCAGTATCACAGCTGTAAGTGAATTTTGATAGATATTTTGGGTGGGTGGTATTATAGCTGAAGTTAGGGTTGGTATAAAGGCTGAGGCTGTATGTGGACTGTAGCAGTTATGTGGACTGGGGTTGGGATGGGGAGTAGAACTGTAATATTAGCGCTGGTATGATGGCTGGGGCGGGTATGTTGGCTGGGATGGGTATGTTGGCTGGGATGGATATGATGGGTGGGGCGGGTATGTTGGCTGGGGTGGGTATGATGGCTGGGGCGGGTATGATGGCTGGGGCTGGTGGTATGATGGCTGGGGCTTGAATGTTACTGCCGGACCGGACTGATGGGCGTACTGGGCCTCGCCATAGTACTCCACGTTGGCAGTGAAACCCTTGTGGTGGTCTGCTTCGTATTTCACCTAACGTAGAAAACATTTTTATTATTATTCTTAAACAATAAGCAATTTTGAGTATTAATGTTTAATATAGAGATTTTTAAGATTAAGAAGAAGTTAAAAAAAAAAAAAAAATAATCCCTTACCGTCTGCTTGCGTCCGTCGGGAAGGTCGACATTGTAGGAGCCACGGACGGTGTTGCCGTCGGAGTTCTCACTGTGTCCGAAGTTGGTGCCGGAGTAGTCGTCCCTAACATTGTATGCGAAGTTGTGTGGCATACCCGGCTGGATCAGCATATGCATACAAGACGTATTTAATATACATATATACATAATATTTATATTCATTATGTAACCTATACTCGTATATAGGAATGCACTTATGTTTTAACTGTTGGAAATATTTAATACATTAAGAATTGTAGGAAATCAGTAACCAACCTGCTTATATGGTGAATGAGTAGGGTGTTGACCGTAGGTAGGCGGGGGTTCTGCCAGAGTCGCCACCACCGCCATCAGCAGGACCACAGTCACCTGTCCCAGAGGGAAGGTTTGGTTTTATTAAAGTTCATTTATTATGTACTGCATTCCCATTCTGCGAGTGGTTGTCAAAAACATTCTTATGTTGCGCGTGGTAGTGGACACAACTATTCCTATTGTGTGAGTAATATTGTACCCAATACTCATCCTATGAGTGTCAGTGGAAAGAGTTAGAGGCACATTGCAGAAAGTTTCATCTGACGAGATAGTTGCAAAGTTTAACAGATACATCAGCATAGAACACTTTGTGAACTAATTTACAGCTCAGGACGTCAATGAAGGTATTAAATTTATCGGAACACTGATAAATTAATTTTATTGTGGTTAAAGACTGAAATCATTGTCCCGTTTTCTCTATATACTAGTTTACTTTAATGCAGATTTAGCATCGATGTTTAGCTCTTTTACTGACAGACGTTAAGGTCAAAATAAATGTTTATTTTGTAGGCCGAGTGAAATTCTATATACAGTATTCGTTAGAGGATATTGAAAGAAGACACACACAACAGCATGTTCTACACTAGTAATAGTCAGAACACTATTCGGGAAACTAAATAAGGAGGCATATAAAAATCTGTACACCACCTACGTGAGACCAGTTTTAGAATATGCCTTCTCATCGCGGAGCCACATCTAAAAAAAACACACAAGAAAACTCGGAAAGCTTTAGTAGTTTGCAACAAGGCTCGTCCTAAAATTGCGAGGAATGGGGTACGAAAAAGGTCTGGAGGAACTAAACCTGATACCGCTAGGAAAGAGGAGACGGGGGACATGATAGAGATATATAAAATCGAGTGATTGACAGTGTAGAAATAGAGGCAATGTTCACAGTCAACAGAATAACAAGAGGACATAGAAGACCGAGACGCTGATGAGTCATAGAGATGTTAGAATGTTTATTTTTAGCGTAAGAGCAGGGGGGGGGGATGGAATATACTAAACGAGAAGATTGTAGAAGCAAACTCCATTCATAATTTTAGAAGTAGATATGATAGGGAAGTATAGGTCAGGAGTCATTGCATTAGACAACTGGTGGATCGAAAAGCAGGGTCCAAGATGTAATGCTCAATTCTGCAGGCACAAATACATAAGTACATAGACAAAAATCAAATGACTTGCAGCAGCAGCAAGTGGATAAAGCCTAGATTATTTTTCCTAAATATTTATATTGTGAAAATATAGAGGAAGGTAGAGAGAATTGTGAATATTCACAGGCCTATCTCACGAACCTTGAGAGCCATGTTGAGTGTGTTGTTGGATGGTGAGTGATGGTGGTGTCCAGTCCGCGTCTGGCTTTATACTCACCATCCTCTCTCCTGGACCTTCCTGTCCCCCGCTCTCCAACACCAGCTGTCGTACGTCAGGCAGGTGTGTGAGGTGTGGTGCATTTGTTTATATTGTGTCCAAAAATTGCATACTGTACTTGTTTTTGTTTGCTTATATTTATATATACAAGAGTTCTTACATTCTTGTACAGCCACTAGCACGCATAGCGATTCGGGCAGGACCATAATCCTAATTTTTCCCGGAATACAACCCGCCAAATCGTTTAACAACAAAGTACCCATTCAATGCTGGGTGAACAGAGGCTACAGTTAGGGACTGGCGCCTAGTTAATCCTCCCCGGCCAGGAATAGAACCCAGGCCAAAGCGCTTGCCGGCCGAGTGCTTTACCACTGCACCACGGGGACCGTATTTGGAGATTGTATTGCTCGTCACGTCGTCTGTGTCTGGTTTCCTTGTAATTAAATATTTTTGACGTTTGAAGGAGTCATAGGAGCCATATTCGTTGCATTTTATGTTCCTTTTTTTTAATAAAAAATTCATATCCTTCATAGTGATAGCAATGCCTTTTGCTAGAGTATATTATTGATTTAAGTTCATGCATTGTATGAATTTATATTATCCAAGTCCTTCTTTAAAGATTTTCTCATAGATATATCACGTTATTGGAATTTCGTTGTGTATTTGTAAGAAGCGTTTGGTGGAGAACACAATTACCTCAGACCATAGTGTCTGCAGCTTGGACTAGTTACCAGCTCAGGACCTCCAAACTACTATTGGATCCGGGCCGATTCCTAATGTTATAACTTCGTGGTCCATGGGTTAAGGTGTATGTCGAGGGTTACCCAGGACGCTGGTTCGATCCCCGTCCTGCTCCAAAGATTTTCCTCGTGAATATATGCATACTGTATATGTACTAGAATGTGTATTACATAATGCTTCAGTGTGAGATGAATGTATCCATGTATATGATCCAGCAAGGGATGAATGTGCTTATATTTATGCTTTAACACTATAATGAACAATTGATATCAAAACCCACCCTCCAAAAGTAATAGAACATATATAGTATCAATGAACGAAATGTGCAGAATATTGTCAACAAATAAATAACGTATTGTTCTATTGAAAATTTTGAAGGACATCAACAAAGAATGGAGCAGCGTAATGATGAAGTTTACCTGTAATTACCGTAATTAAAATTCATTCCTACTAAGTCAAATTTAGTACATATGTGTATTATATTATATTAGACTTAGAACAGGTTAGGTTTGATAGAATTGAATTGATTTTAATTGGTATAAATTGCATAGGTTTAGATTTAGGAAAGACTTGGGTAAATACTGGTTCCGTAAAATTGTTCTAGATTCATGGAACAAATTACCGCATAACATTATAGACGTAGGAGCCCTTGATGGTTTCAACCGTTGGTTAGACACACACACACACACATATATATATATATATATATATATATATATATATATATATATATATATATATATATATATATATATATATATATATATATATATATATATATATATATATATATATATATATATATATATATATATATATATTATATAATATAATATATATATAATGAGTTTGAGTTTGGGTGGTTATAAATAAATAGGAGCTGCCACGTATGGGCTAAAAGGCCTTCTGCAGTTTTCTTGATTCTTATGTTCACTTCCTTTTTGGGCTCTAAGGTAAGCCTTGATTGATTACTGTACCCTTGCCCACTTAAGATAAGTCACAAGTGATCACGGCATCCTTGCACCTCTAAAAAACAACCCGGTTAAGAATCCATGCATTTAATTCAATAATTCCCGATTATTTTGCAATACAGTATTTGCATTTAATCTGTGGATGGATGAATCTGGTTATTATTCCTCTTAGTTCCATCATTAACCCTTCTACTGGGGTCATCATAATGGGTAGCCAAACCTAAAAATTATGTTTATAGTTAGTGTTTCCTATGAGTGTTTAATGTCTGAATCATGTTCCCTTCTATTATTCGTTTCAGTGTTGTTAGGATTATCCTTTTCAATCTATCTTAGTGGCTAAATCCCCTCAATTCTGAGGCTGCTTGTGTCGAAAACCTCTATAATTTTTCAATATATTTTCTGTGCTTTATGAGGTGGATTTGTACACTGGTGCTACAATCTATAGTTCTGCGGTTATGTTTAGTTATTTTTATGGTACTTTTGTAAGTGCATTTTTTATATTTTTTGTACTTTGATAATTGTATTTTTATTCATAATTTGTGAATTTTGGTAATTAATTGGATTTTCACATTTTTTTAATTATCGATATGGCAAACCACGACGTATTTCTTAATAGTTCATTTGACAATGTCCTTTCATAACTTTTTGAATGGGAGGAGTGCAAGAATATCTTGAAATGCATGCAGACGTGGAAAAGAGGTTAGAATTACTGCAATAGACGTTCCACACTTAAACAGGGCCCAAGCACCGAAGCTCTGTCCTGAAATCTGTATTAGGTAAATACGTCCTTTAATTCTAAACTTTTAATACCCTTACTCTCTCCCCCCTCCCTCTTTCACCATTGTGATATTCATTGCTTTCACTTTGCACATCAGCTGGTCTAGTTAGAGACCGGGCTAGCATGGACGTTGGTCCTTCAGACCACTTTAAGGTAACCAAAGCTACTCAGCAAAATTTGTTGGTATTATTAGCTCTTGTGCTGACTCTGCACCATATTTGCTAAAATACCTGATTTCTGTTATCATACATCCTTATGAGCATTCCTTATCAATATTGACATCATTTCTTAGTCAAATGAGTCAGTTCAATATGACTGGAAAATAATTATTTTTTGTTTTACTTATTAACATATTTTGCAACATTGTAAGCACTATAAATTAGAGAACACAATATGGAAAATAAGATAAGTATAGCAATGCTTTGGATTTATTTAAACACTTAAGTCTCTAGAAACTTTACAATTAACAATGACCAGGTTTCAATAGAAACATTAATAACGTAAGTAATTATGGCTGGTATGTGGTGTCGGGCTGGGGACTAGGATTGGTAAGAGGGTTGGGGTGGGTATGATGGCTGGGGCTGGTGGTATGATTGCTGGGGTGGGTATGATGGCTGGGGGTGGTGGTATGATGGCTGGGGCTGGGGTGGGTATGATGGCTGGGGCTGGGGTGGGTATGATGGCTGGGGCTTGTATGATGGCTGAGGCTGGTAGGATGGCTGGGGCTGGTGGTATGATGGCTGGGGCTTGAATGTTACTGCCGGACCGGACTGGTAGGCGTACTGGGCCTCGCCATAGTACTCCACGTTGGCAGTGAAACCCTTGTGGTGGTCTGCTTCATATTTCACCTACCGTAGAAAACATTTTGATCAATATTAAACTTTAAGCACTATTAAATATTAATGTTTAATATGGAGATTTTTAAACTTTGGAAGAACAAGTTTAAACTAAAAAGTACCTTACCGTCTGCTTGCGTCCGTCGGGAAGGTCGACATTGTAGGAGCCATGGACGGTGTTGCCGTCGGAGTTCTCACTGTGTCCGAAGTTGGTGCCGGAATAGTCGTCCCTAACATTGTATGCGAAGTTGTGTGGCATACCCGGCTGAATCATCATATGCATACAGTACATGTTAATATACATACATACATAATAAATGTATTCATTATGTAATCTGTACTCCTACATAGGCATGAATTCGTATTTTAACTGTTGGAAATATTCAATACATTAGAATAGTAGAAAATCATTAACCAACCTGCTTATATGGTGAATGAGTAGGGTGATGACCGTAGGTAGGCGGGGGTTCTGCCAGAGTCGCTACCGCCGCCATCAGCAGGACCACAGTCACCTGTCCCAGAGGGAAGTTTTGGTTTTATTAAAGTTTATTTATTATATGCCCAATACCTGTTCTGTGGGTGTTTGTGAACCCGATCCCTGAGGTGTGAGTAGTAATGGACCTTATACCCATCCTGTGAGTGGTAGTTGAGCCATTATGTGAGTGATACTGGACCAAATACTCATGCTCAGTGTCAGTGGATAAAGCTTCTTTAATAACATTTTAGGCTTTGGAAATGAACTCCAATATTTGTTTAAGTGAACAAGTTACAACTTTGATGAGGTAGTTTCAAAGTTTAAGATACATCAACATTATATTGTGAATTAATTTACCACTCAGCACATCAATGCAGGGACTCAATTTATCTGAACATTAATCAATTCTATTTACTGTGGTAAAAATGTAGTCTTTTTACTGTTTTCTTTAAGTACCAGTTTACATTAATATAGATTTAGTATACAAATTTACCTCTTTCCTTGGCACACATTACGGTCAATCTTTTATTTTTTTAATTTTTATTGTAAGTGGAGTAAAATTCTTTATATTTGTAAATATTGATAGAGGACACTCGCACAAAATTAAAATTTCAGCAGTAGCATGTGCTAGTATAAAGCCTAGATTATGTTCGTAAATATTGTCAAATGTATTATTTTATTCGAATAACTTCAACACATCGTGAAAGGAAAAGTGGCTTCTGAATATTCACAGGCTTATATCACGAACCTTGAGAGACATGTTGAGTGTGTTGTTGGATGGTGAGTGATGGTGATGTACAGTCCGCGTCTGGCTTTATATTCACCATCCTCTCTCCTGGACCTTCCTGTCCCCCGCTCTTCAACACCAGCTGTTGTACGTCACGCAGATGTGTGAGGCGTGGTGCAGTTGTTCATCGTTTGATTCCAAAAATTGCATATTTGGATATTGTATTACTCGTCACGTCATCACAGTCTGCTCTTATAATTAAACCTTTATGCACGCTTGTGGGAGGCATAGGAATTATATTTTCTGCATTGTTACTTTTTATAAACAATAAATATATGTCCATCATAGTGATACCAAAGTCTTTTGTATATTATTGATTAAGTTTATGTATTGTATCCCACCTTCTATAACCTTTAGTACATCGTGGTCCATGGGTTAAGGTGTGTCTAGAGTTACCCAACACGCTGGTTCGATCCCCGTCCTGCTCCAAAGATTTTCTCATGAACATAGGCATATTGTATATGTACGCCAGCTGTATATGCACTAGAATGTGTATATCATAATGCTTCAGTTTGAGATGAATGTATACATGTATATGATCCAGCAAGGGATGAATGTGCTTTATTTATGCTTTAACACTATAATGTCCAATTGGTATCAAAACCCACCCTCCAAAAACAATAGAACATATAGCTACTATGAGTGAAATGTGCAGATATTGACAAAAAAGGAATCATGTTTTGTTCCATTGGAAATGTTGAAGGGCATCAACAAAAAGTGGAAAGAGTAATGATTAAGTTAACCTGTAATTACCGTAAATTAGAATCCATTCCTACCAAACATTTTAAGCCAAATTCAGTACATATATGTGTTATATTTATGGAAAAGTTAAATTTGGTAGAATTGATTTGATATAAATTGGATAAGTTTTAGGTTTAGGAAAACCCTGGATAAATATTGTTCGGTAACATGGTTGTCGATTTGTGGAACGAATTACTGCATATCATAATAGACGTAGGATACCTTTATTGTTTCATGCGTAGGTTAGACATAGATATGAATTTGGGTGCATATAAATAGGAGCTGTTGACCAAACCACACACTAGAAGTGAAGGGACGGACAGAAACGACGTCGTCCCTTCACTTTCTAGTGTGTGGTTTGGTCAGCATATTTCAGCCACGTTATTGTGACTCCTCGTCTCCAAATAGGAGCTGCCACGTATGGGCCAATAGGCCTTCTGCAGTTTTCTTGATTCTTATGTTCTTAGGTGCTCTAAGATGAGCCTTGATTGAGTATTGCATCCTTCCACCCTTACGATGAGCCACAACTGATCACAGCATCCACGCACCTCAATAGCAACCCGATCAAATTGGTATAGCATCTCTAAAAGCAAAGAAGCTTTACCTTTAATGCAATAATTCCCGATCATTTTGGCATATTTGCATTTAAATCTGTCGATGGATGAATATTTTATTATTCCTCATGGTTCCATCCTTAATACCCTTCCACTGCTCATCATAATGTCTAGCCAAACCTAAACATTATGTTTCTAGTTTAGTGCTTCCTATGAGTGTTTAATGTCTGAATCATGTTCCTTTCTATTACTAGTTTCAGTGTTGGTAGGATATCTACTTCAATCAATCTTGGTAGATTGAATTGAGGGGAAAATATAATCCCCTCAATTCTAAGACTGCTTGTGTAGAATACCTCAACTTTTTTCAATATATGCTCTGTGCTTTGTGAGGTGAGGCTGTACACTGGTGCTACATAATCACATACTCTAGTACTACGTGTATATTTAGTTTTAGTTTTTTTTGTACTTTGGTATTTGCTTCTTTTTTTTTTAACAATTTTGGTAATTCATTGGATTTTCACCATTTTGTAATTATGGATATATGAAACCACGACGGATTTGTTAGTAATTTATTTGACAATGGCATTTCATAATTTTTTGAGGGCAAGGGTGCAAGAATATTTAAAACGCATGCAGACGTGGAAAAGGGTTTAAAATTACTGGAATAGACGACCCATAGTTAGGCAGGGCCCAAGAACAGAAGCTCTGTCCTGCAAGCTGTATTATATAAATACGTCCTTTGATTCTGAATTTTTAATACCCTTACTCCCCTCCCCCCGTCACCATTGCGATCTTTATTCCTTCACTTTGTACATCAGCTGGTCAAGTTAGAGACCGGGCTAGCGTGGACGTTGGTCCTTCAGACCACTTCAAGGTAACCAAGACTGCTCAGCATAATTTGTTGGTAATTACTATTGGCTTTTGTGCTGTTTCTCTACACCATATCTGCTTGAATACCTGATTTATGTTCTCGTACATCCTTATGACACCCCATCCTCCTGTTTAGATTGCAGTTTTTGTAACTATATGCACCATAGTACAATCTATGATGTACTAAGCAATTAGGAGAATTTGGTACTGTTCACTTTATAGTCCGAAAAAAATGAAGCTAAAAAACAAGCTGAATTATTCCTACTATAGCACACACATGTACTATATTAGGTCTCAGACAGCGTGTATTAAGACTAGAAAGGTTAGGTTAGTGTAGGTTGGTTTTGCAACACAAGTACAAAACCTTTTCTGGTTTGTCTAAATTCAGTAGTACAGATTTCTAATTGCGTTGTACGTAGATATAGTAACGATGATTACCATAGTACATATAAGTACTACCAAAACAGGAAGGTAGGCTGTTTATGAGCATTCCTTATCGATATTGTCATCAATTCTTAGTTAAAGGATTCGGTTCAATATGATTGAAAAATAATTATTATTATGTTTTACTTCTTCACATATATTGCAACATTGTAAGCACTATAAATTAGAGATATAACAAAATATGGAAAATAAGATAAATATAGTAATGCTTTGGATTTATTTAAACACTTAAGTCTCTAGAAAAATTACAATTAACAATGACCAGATTTGAATGGGAACCTTAACAACGAAAGTAATTATGGCTGGTATGTGGTGTAGGGCTGGGGACTAGGGTTGGTAAGAGGGTTGGGGTGGGTATGATGGCTGGGGCTGGTGGTATGATGGCTGGGGTGGGTATGATGGCTGGGGTGGGTATGATGGCTGGGGCTGGTATGATGGCTGGGGCTTGAATGTTACTGCCGGACCGGACTGGTGGGCGTACTGGGCCTCGCCATAGTACTCCACGTTGGCAGTGAAACCCTTGTGGTGGTCTGCTTCGTATTTCACCTAACGTAGAAAACATTTTTGTTAATATTAAACGTTAAGCAATTTTGACTATTAATGTTTAATATGGAGACTTTTAAACTTAGAAGGAACAAGTTAAAAAAAAAAAGTTCGTTACCGTTTGCTTGCGTCCGTCGGGAAGGTCGACATTGTAGGAGCCACGGACGGTGTTGCCGTCGGAGTTCTCACTGTGTCCGAAGTTGGTGCCGGAGTAGTCGTCCCTAACATTGTATGCGAAGTTGTGTGGCATACCCGGCTGGATCAGCATATGCATACAATACGTATTTAATATACATATATACATAAGATTTTTATTCATTATGTAACCTATACTCGTACATAGCAATGCACTTATGTTTTAACGGTTGGAAATATTCAATACATTAAGAATTGTAGAAAATCATTAACCAACCTGCTTATATGGTGAATGAGTAGGGTGTTGACCGTAGGTAGGCGGGGGTTCTGCCAGAGTCGCTACCACCGCCATCAGCAGGACCACAGTCACCTGTTCAAGAGGGAAGGTTTGGTTTTATTATAGTTCATTTATTATGTGCCCCATACCCGTCCTGTCGGTGTTTGTGGACCCCAATCCTGAGGCGTGAGTGGTAATGGACTCTATACCCATCCTGTGAGTTGTAGTGGAATTCATTCCCAGTTTGTCAGTGATATTGGACCCCCATGCCCCATACTGTAAGTGGTAGTTGAGCCCATATCATTGTGAGTGATACTGGACCAAATACTCATCATGATTATCAGTGGATAAAATCTCATAAGAATATTGTAAGTTCAGGAGCTGAACGCCAATATTTGTTTAGGTGAGCAAGTTACAGCGTTGATGAGGTAGTTTCAAAGTTTGAGATAAATCAACAGTATATCATGAAATAATTTACCGCTCAGAACATCAATGAAGGGACTCAATTTATCTGAACATTGATAAATTCTATTTACTGTGGTAAAAATGTAGTCTTTGTCCTGTTTTCTTTGAGTACCAGGTAACTTTAATATTGATTTAGCATAAAAGTTTACCTCTTTTCTTGGTACACATTATGGTATTTTTTTTTTTACTTGTATGTGCAGTAAAATTCTTTATATTTGTAAATATTGAAGGAGGGGACACACTCGCACAAGATTAAAATTTCAGCAGAAACATCTGTTGGTATAAAGCCTAGATTATTTTTCATAAATATTGCCAAATGTGCTATTTTATTCGAATGACTTAAACACATCGTGAAAGGGAAAGAGGATTGTGAATTTTCACAGTCCTGTGTCACGAACCTTGAGAGACATGTTGAGTGTGTTGTTGGATGGTGAGTGATGGTGGTGTCCAGGCCGCGTCTGACTTTATACTCACCATCCTCTCTCCTGGACCTTCCTGTCCCCGTTCTCCAACAGCAGTTGTTGTACGCCAGGCAGATGTGTGAGGTGTGGTGCATTTGTTCATTGTTTGAGTTAAAAAATTACATAATTGGACATTGTAATGCTCGTCATGTCATCTGTGTCTGTTCTTATAATTAACCATAGGCGTTTCCAGGAGACATAGGACCCAGATTTGGTGTATTTTGTTACTTTTTTATTTTACAAAATTATATCCTTCATAGTGATATCAGTGCCATATGTATATTATTGATTTACGTTTTTGTATTGTATCCCATCTTCTATAACCTTTAGTACATCGTAGTCCATGGGTTAAGGTGTCTCTCTAGAGTTACCAACACGCCGGTTCAATCCCCGTCTTGCTCGAAAAATTTTCTCATAAATGTATGCATACTGTATATGTACTCTGGCTGTATATGTATTAGTATGTATCATAATGCTTTAGTGTGAGATGAATGTATTCATGTATATAAGGGAGGAATGTGGTTTATTTATGCTTTAACACTATCATGCCCAATTGATATCAAAACCCACCCTCCAAAATAATAGAACACATAGCTACTATGAAATGTGTAAAATATTGACAAAAAAGAAATCGCGTTTTGTTCTATAGGAAATGTTGAAGAACATCAATTAAGAGTGAAGAAGAGTAATGATGAAGTTAACGTGTAATTACCGTAAATTAAAATCCATTCCTACCAAACAATTTAGGCCAAATTTAGTACATATATGTATTATATTAAACTTAGGAAAAGTTAGGTTTGGTAGAATTTATGTCAATTGGTATAAATTGAAAAAGTTTAGGTTTAGGAAAAGATCTGGGCAAATACTGGCTCGGTAACAGGGTTGTCGATTTATGGAACTAATTACCGCATTACATAATAGACATAGGATCCCTTGACTGTTTTAAGCGTAGGTTAGACATAGAAATGAATGAGTTTGGCTGCATATAAATAGGAGCTGCCACGTATGGGCCAATACTCCTTCTGCAGTTTCCATGATTCTTATGTTCTTATGTGCTCTAGGTTTGTTAGAGCAGAACAGGGCTCTATCAAGGAACATATAATCTCTTCTCACAACCAGACCATCACCAGAGAAATCTTAACAAAAACACAGAAATAAATCATCGATAGGTACAGCGATAGCAGGCGGCTTGACATCAGCAAGGCACTACACATCAAAAAGTCAACACCAGCAATCAACAGCCAATTAATGCACAACTATTTTCTACCCACTTCAAGGCACTGTATGGGCCAATAGGCCCTCTGCAGTTGTTGTTTTTGTTTCAGATTTAGCTGCTCAGAACGAAGTGTCCATGTAGCACGGGCTATGGTGAGCCCGTAATTGAGTTCGGTTATTCGAGATAACCTTGTTTATGTGATATTTGGGTCTAAGTTTAAAATGGAGGAGGGGATTCCTCCCTTTTCTCTGTTTATTTATCGCTTCTGTTTTAGTGCACTGGTTTTCGTCTTGTTTTATTAACATTATCTTTGAGGCGGATGTAGATGCAGAATGTTCACTAGTGAGTCCCATTCCTCAACGGCTTTTCTAATAATTGTAGTCGCGGTGGAATGTGCATCTAATGCAGCTGCTGTAGTTGGATTAATGTTGAGTTTGATGCGCAGGGCTTCAGTAGCTTCACATTCCAGTAAGTAGTGCAATAGTGGCGCCTCTGCTTCTATTTCACAGATGTGACACTTTAACTATTGGGTTCATTACCACCCAGCAGCACTTGTAACCAAGTCTGAGTCTGTGTATGGCTACTGCAATGTCTCTGGATATCTTTTTGCCAGGCTTGAAAGAGGAGTAACCAGTGGTTTGTTCGTACCATATCGCAGTGGATCTTCCTTCCGCTACATTGACTCTGTGGCGACTTTTGATAGTTGAGAATATTTTCTTCTTGATTTGCTCCTTAATCTGTGAAAATCTTGGAGGTATTTGAACCTGTACAACAGATAGAGCAGTGGCAATTTTTGCTAATGAGTCTGCCTTTTCATTACCATCTATGTCAATGTGACTTGGTATCCAATTTAGGATGATTGACAGCCCTAGATTATGGGCTTCTTTTCCTATATGTTGAATTTCTGTGAGGGGTTGTATATTATCTCTGTGCTGACTGGATAACAATGCCTGGAGCAAAGATTTAAGAGTCGGTATGAATGATGACATCATGTAAATTATTCTCAATTGTAAATAGTTTATTGCCTCCTTAAGGGCATATAATTCTGTTTGCAATGTTGAGCACCAACTATTCATGCTCCAGTAAGCTTCATGGTTGGTAGTGTAAACTGCTGCCCCAGCAGAACCTCTTTCTTGATCAATTGATTCGTCTGTGAAGATGTGAGTCGTTGTAGGTCTTGAGATGGTTTTCATTTGTTGTTCTATTACTTCCTTGAGCCTCTGCGGGTCACATGCTGATTTTTTAACTGGTAATCCTTCAATGATTATCTTTGGATTCGATTCTTCCCATGGAGGAGGCTGCCGAAAGTGTTGATATGGTGCATCTTCCCCTTTGTTTTTGATGGTTCATTTCAGGTCCACTTTCTCTAGAATCTTGATCAGATTATCCATCCATGAGCTTGTTCTATATTGAATGTTTTTCTCAAAGGATCTCTGTGTGCTGTCTTTGATTGACAGTCTGCCTGTTGTTTAAAAAAGTTTTGCTGCTAAGGTGGCTATCCTTTGTTGCATCCTGTTTTCTAATGCTGGTAAATTGGTTTCCAGCATTTTAATTGGTAACCTACAGTAACTGGTAATTGTTACAGCTATTAATTGGCAAAATTAAAATTGGTCTTGGTAACTGCAGAGGGTTACCAATTAGTAACTCTCTGCAGTTACTTCCATTCTCATATACCCACCTCACCCAAAACCAATAAAAAGCAAGAGTTTTGTCAAATGTTTCATACACACACACACACACACACACACACACACATATATATATATATATATATATATATATATATATATATATATATATATATATATATGCGAAGAAGCCTGAATGGTCCCCAGGACAATATGCAACTGAAAACTCACACCCCAGAAGTGACTCGAACCCATACTCCCAGAAGCAACGCAACTGGTATGTACAAGACGCCTTAATCCACTTGACCATCACGACCGGACATAATGAGGTGATAGCCTAAGCTATTTGAACCACCCCACCGCCGGCACTCGGATAGTAATCTTGGGCATAGCATTTTACCAAATCACCTCATTCTTTGGGGCACACGTGAGGAACACAAATGCGAAGAAGCCTGAATGGTCCCCAGGACAATATGCAACTGAAAACTCACACCCCAGAAGTGACTCGAACCCATACTCCCAGAAGCAACGCAACTGGTATGTACAAGACGCCTTAATCCACTTGACCATCACGACCGGACATAATGAGGTGATAGCCTAAGCTATTTGAACCACCCCACCGCCGGCACTCGGATAGTAATCTTGGGCATAGCATTTTACCAAATCTTGGGCATAGCATTTGTGTTCCTCACGTGTGCCCCAAAGAATGAGGTGATTTGGTAAAATGCTATGCCCAAGATTACTATCCGAGTGCCGGCGGTGGGGTGGTTCAAATAGCTTAGGCTATCACCTCATTATGTCCGGTCGTGATGGTCAAGTGGATTAAGGCGTCTTGTACATACCAGTTGCGTTGCTTCTGGGAGTATGGGTTCGAGTCACTTCTGGGGTGTGAGTTTTCAGTTATATATATATATATATATATATACTCTTTGCTTTGTGAGGTGGAGCTGTGATGCTACAAACTCACATAATTAAGTACTGCGGGTATATTTACTTAATTTTGTTGTACTTTGCTAATTGCATTTTCAATTTTTTTTAATTTTGGTAATTCATTGTATTTTCACCATTTTATAATTATGGATATATGAAACTATGACGGGTTTGTTAGTAATTCATTTGACAATGGCATTTCATAATTTTTTAAGGGGGAAGGGTGCAAGAATATCTTAAAACGCATGAAGGCATGGAAAAGGGTTTAGAATTACTGGACTAGATGATCCACAGTTAGGCAGCGCCCAAGAACTGAAGCTCTGTCCTGCAAGCTGTATTAGGTAAATACGTTCTATGAATCTGAATTTTTAGTACCCCCCTCCCTTCACTATTGTGATATTAATTGCCTTCACTTTGCACATCAGCTGGTCTAGTTAGAGACCGGGCTAGGGTGGACGTTGGTCCTTCAGACCACTTCAAGGTAACCAAGACTGCTCAGCATAATTTGTTGATAATTACTTTTAGCTCTTGTGCTGACTCTCTAAACCATATCTGCTAGAATACCTGATTTATATTCTCATACATCATTATGACAACCCATCCTCCTGTTTAGATTGTAGTTGTTGTCATTAGGTGCACTATAGTACAAACTGATGTATTAAGCAATTAGTCGAATTTGGTACTATTCACTTTATAGAGTCCAAAAAATGAAGCTAAAAAAAGCTTAAATATTCCTTGTATAGCACACACATGTACTGTATCAGACCTTCGATGCGTGTATTAGGCCTAAGAAGATTAGGTTTCTTTAGGTTGTTTTTGCAACACAAGTACAAAACCTTTTCCGGTTTGTACTAATTCAATAGTACAGATTTCTAATTACGTTGTACGTAGATATATGTACTATGGTTCTCATGGTTACTATAACTATTACCAAAACAGGAGGAGGGGGCTGCTATTGAGCATTCCTTATCGATATTGACATCAATTCTTAGTCAATTGAGTCAGTTCACTATTATTGAAAAATAATTATTTATATGTTTTACTTCTTCACATATTTTGCAACATTGTAAGCACTATAAATTAGAGATATAACAAAATATGGAAAATGAGATAAATATAGCACTGCTTTGGATTTATTTAAACACTTAAGTCTCTAGAAACATTACAATTAACAATGACCAGGTTGGAATGGGAACCTTAACAACGAAAGTGATTATGGCTGGTATGTGGTGTAAGGCTGGGGACTAGGGTTGGGGTGGGTATGATGGCTGGGGCTGGTGGTATGATGGCTGGGTCGGGTATGATGGCTGGGGCTGGTGGTATGATGGCTGGGTGGGGTATGATGGCTGGGGCGGGTATGATGGCTGGGGCTGGTGGTATGATGGCTGGGGCTTGAATGTTACTGCCGGACCGGACTGGTGGGCGTACTGGGCCTCGCCATAGTACTCCACGTTGGCAGTGAAACCCTTGTGGTGGTCTGCTTCATATTTCACCTAACGTAGAAATCATTGTTGTTAATATTAAATGTTAAGCAATTTTAAATATTAATGTTTAATATGGAGATTATTAAAATTCGGAAGAATAAGTTTTAGCATAAAAGTCCCTTACCGTTTGCTTGCGTCCGTCGGGAAGGTCGACATTGTAGGAGCCACGGACGGTGTTGCCGTCGGAGTTCTCACTGTGGCCGAAGTTGGTGCCGGAGTAGTCGTCCCTAACATTGTATGCGAAGTTGTGTGGCATACCCGGCTGGATCAGCATATGCATACAATACGTGTTTAATATACGTGATCTTCGAGACAAATCGCCCACATGGGTTCAGGGAGGGTAAATCTTGCCTTATATATTAATATTTGTATTCATTATGTAACGTATACTCGTACAAAGGAATGCACTTATGTGTTAAATGTTGGAAGTATTAAGTACATTAGAATAGTAGACAATCAGTAACCAACCTGCTTATATGGCGAATGAGTAGGGTGACGACCGTAGGTAGGCGGGGGTTCTGCCAGAGTCGCCACCACCGCCATCAGCAGGACCACAGTCACCTGTCCCAGAGGGAAGTTTTGGTTTTATTAAAGTTTATTTATTATATGCACAATACCTGTTCTGTGGGTGTTTATGGACCCCATCCCTGAGGTGTGAGTAGTAATGGACCCTGTTCCCATCCTGTGAGTAGTAGTTGAGCCATTATGTGAGTGATACTGGACCAAATACGCATGCTGAGTGTTAGTGGATAAAGTTTCATAAGAACATTTTAGGCTCATGAGCTGAACTCCAATATTTGTTTTAGGTGAGAAAGTTACAGCGTTGATGAGGTAGTTTCAAAGTTTAAGATATATCAACATTATCGTGAATTAATTTACCGCTCCGAGCATCATTGAAGGGACTCAATTTATCTGAACATTGATAAATTATATTTACTGTGGTAAAAATGTAGTCTTTGTCCTGTATTCTTTACGTACTAGTTTACTTTTATATAGATTTAGCATAAAAGTTTACCTCTTTCCTTGGTACACATTACGGCCAATTTTTTTTTTTAATTTTTATTGTAAGAGGAGTAAAATTCTTTATATTTGTAAATATTGAAAGAGAACACGCACAAAATTAAAATTACAGCAGAAACATGTGTTGGTATAATGCCTTGATTATGCTTCTAAATATTGTCAAAAGTACTATTGTATTCGAATAACTTCAACACATCGTGAAAGGAAAAGTGGCTTCTGAATATTTACAGGCTTATATCACGAACCTTGAGAGCCATGTTGAGTGTGTTGTTGGATGGTGAGTGATGGTGGTGTCCAGTCCGCGTTTGGCTTTATACTCACCATCCTCTCTCCTGGACCTTCCTGTCCCCCGCTCTCCAACACCAGCTGTTGTACGTCACGCAGGTGTGTGAGGCGTGGTGTATTTGTTCATCGTCTGATTCCAAAAATTGCATATTTGGATATTGTATTGCTCGTCACGTCATCTATGTCTGTTTATATATTTAACATTAATGGACGTTTGTGGGAGTCATAGGAATTATATTTGTTGCACTATGTTTCTTTTTATAAAAAAAATTTATCCTTCATGATGATACCAAAGTCTTTTGTATATTATTGATTTAAGATTATGTATTGTATCCGACATTCTATAACCTTCAGTACATTGTGGTCCATGGGTTAAGGTGTGTGTGTCTAGAGTTACCCAACACGCTGGTTCGATCCCCGTCCTGCTCCACAGATTTTCTCATTAATATATGCATACTGTATATGTACTCCAGCTGTATAGGTACTAGAATGTGTATATTATTATGCTTCAGTTTGAGATGAATGTATACATGTATATGCAAGGGATGAATGTGCTTATATTTATGCTTAAACACTATGATGTCCAATTGATATCAAAACCCACGCTCCAAAAATAATAGAACATATAGCTACTATGAGTGAAATGTGAAAAATATTAAAAAAAAAGAAAACACGTTTTGTTCTATTGGAAATGTTGGACATCAACAAAGAATGGAGCAGTGTAATGGTAGTTTACCTGGTAGTTATAATTTACTTGAAATTACCGTAAATTAAAATCCATTCCTACCAAACATTTTAAGCCAAATTCAGTACATATATGTGATATATTACATTTAATAAAAATTAGGTTTGGTAGAATTGATTTGATATAAATTGGATAAGTATTTAGGTTTAGGATAGACATTGATAAATACTGGTTCGGTAACAGGGTTGTCGATTTGTGGAACCAATTACAGCATATCATAATAGCAATCATACCTTGAAACGCATGAAACAATCATACCTTGATTGTTTCATGCGTAGGTTAGACGTCGATATGAATTTGGGTCTATATAAATAGGAGCTGTTGACCAAACCACACACTAGAAAGTGAAGGGACGACGACGTTTCGGTTCGTTCTGGACCATTCTCATGTCGACTGTGTCACAATCGACTTGAGAATGGTCCAGGACGGACCGAAACGTCGTCGTTCCTTCACTTTCTAGTGTGTGGTTTGGTCAACATATTTCAGTCACGTTATTGCGACTCCTCGTCTGCAAATAGATGCCACGTATAGGTCAATAGGCGTTCTACAGTTTCCTTGATTCTTATGTTATTATGTGATCTAAGATGAACCTTGGTTGAGTCCTTGCACGTAAGGTTACATCCTTGCACCCTTACGTGCAAGGATGCACGTAAGGGTGCATCCTTGCACCCTTACGATCAGCCACAACAGATCACAGCATCCACGCACCTTCAAAAGAAATCCGATCAAATCGATATAGCATCTCTAAAAGCAAAGAATCCTTACCTTTAAGGCAATAATTCCCGATCATTTTGCCATATTTACATTTAAATCTGTGGATGGGTGAAACTTTTATTATTCCTCTTGGTTCCATGTTTAGTTCCCTTCCACTGGTTCATTATAATATCTAGTCACACCTAAACATGTTTCGAGTTTAGTGCTTCCTATGAGTGTTTAATGTCAGAATCATGTTTCCCTTTTATTACCAGTTTCAGTGTTGTTAGGATTATCTACTTCAAACAATCTTGGTTGATTGAATTGAGGAGAAATTATAGTCCCCTCAAATCTGAGGCTTCTTGTGTAGAAAACCTCTACCTTTTTTCAATCTATGCTCTGTGCTTTGTGAGGCGGGGCTGTACACTGGTGCTGCATACTCACATACTCTAGTAATGCGTGTTTTTTTGTGCTTTGGTAATTGTTTAAAAAAAAAAAGAATTTTGGTAATTCATTGGATTTTCACCATTTTGTAATTATGGATATATCTGAAACCACGACGGATTTGTTAGTAATACATTTGACAATTTAGCCTTTCATAATTTTTTGAGGGGGAGGGTGCAAGAATATTTAAAACGCATGCAGACGTGCAAAAGGGTTTAGAATTACTGCAATAGACGATCCACAGTTAAGCAGAAGCTCTGCCTAACAGAAGCTCTGCCCTGCAAGCTGTATTAGTTAAATACGTCCTTTGATTCTGAATTTGTAATACCCTTACCCCCCTCTTTCACCATTTCAATATTTATTGCCTTCACTTTGTACATCAACTGGTCTAGTTTGAGACCGGGCTACCATGGACGTTGGTCCTTCAAACCACTTCAAGGTAACCAAGGCTGCTCAGCATAATTTGTTGGTAATTACCATTAGCTTTTGTGGTGTTTCTCTACACTATATCTGTTTGAATACCTGATTTATGTTCTCGTACATCCTTATGACACCCCATCCTCCTGTTTAGATTGCAGTTTTTGTAACTATATGCACCATAGTACAAACTATGACATACTAAGTAATAAGTAGAATTTGATACTATTCTCTTATAGGGTCCGAAAAAATTAAGCTAAAAAACAAGCTGAAATATTCCTAGTATAGCACACATGTGTACTATATTAGACCTCAGATAGTGTGTATTAAGCCTAGAAAGGTTAGGTTAGTTTAGGTTGTTTTTGCAACACAAGTACAAAACCTTTTCTGGTTTGTCCAAATTCAGCAGTACAGATTTCTATTTTCTAATTGTATTGTATGTAGATATATGTACTAAGGTTCTCAGCGTTACTATAAGTACTACCAAAACAGGAAGATGGGCTGTTTATAAGCATTCCTTATTGATATTGACATCAATTCTTAGTCAAATGAGTCTGTTCAATTTGAATAATTATTGTTTTACTTCTTCACATATATTGCAACATTGTAAGCACTATAAATTAGAAATATAGCAAAATATGGAAAATAAGATAAATATATCAATGCTTTGGATTTATTTAAACACTTAAGTCTCTAGAAACATTACAATTAACAATGACCAGGTTGGAATTGGAACCTTAACAACGAAAGTGATTATGGCTGGTATGTGGTGTAAGGCTGGGGACTAGGGTTGGTAAGAGGGTTGGGGTGGGTATGATGGCTGGGGCTGGTATGATGGCTGGGTCGGGTATGATGGCTGGTGGTATGATGGCTGGGGCTTGAATGTTACTGCCGGACCGGACTGGTGGGCGTACTGGGCCTCGCCATAGTACTCCACGTTGGCAGTGAAACCCTTGTGGTGGTCTGCTTCGTATTTCACCTAACGTAGAAAACATTTTTGTTAATATTAAGCGTCAAGCAACTTTGAACATTAATGTAAATATGGAGATTTTTAAACTTAGGAAGAAAAAGTTAAAAAATAAAGTCCCTTACCGTCTGCTTGCGTCCGTCGGGAAGGTCGACATTGTAGGAGCCACGGACGGTGTTGCCGTCGGAGTTCTCACTGTGACCGAAGTTGGTGCCGGAGTAGCCGTCCTTAACATTGTATGCGAAGTTGTGTGGCATCCCCGGCTGGATCAGCATAGGAATACAATATGTATTTAAAATACATAATATTTGTATTTATTGTGTAACCTATACCCGTACATAGGAATGCACCTATGTTTTAACTGTTGGAAATATTCAATACATTAGAATAGTAGAAAATCATTAACCAACCTGCTTATATGGTGAATGAGTAGGGTGATGACCGTAGGTAGGCGGGGGTTCTGCCAGAGTCGCCACCACCGCCATCAGCAGGACCACAGTCACCTGTCCGAGAGGGAAGGTTTGGTTTTATTAAAGTTCATTTATTATGTGCCCCATACCTGTTCTGTGGGTGTTTTGTGAAACACCCATCCCTGTCTTGAGAGTCGTAATGGACCCTATACCTATCCTGTGAGATTTAGTGGAATTCATATCCAGTTTGTAAGTGATATTGGATCCCATGCCCCATATTGTAAGTAGTAGTTGAGCCCATACCATTATGTGTGATTCTCGACCAAATACTCATCCTGAGTGTCAGTGGATATAATTTCACAAGACCATTGTAGGCTCAGGAGCTGAACTCCAATATTTGTTTAGGTGAGCAAGTTACAGCGTTGATGAGGTAGTTTCAAAGTTTAAGATATACCAACAGTATTTCGTGAAATAATTTACCGCTCAGAACATCAATGAAGGGACTCGATTTATCTGAACATTGATAAACTCTATTTACTGTGGTAGAAATGTTGTCTTTGTCCTGTTTTCTTTGAGTACCAGGTAACTTTAATATAGATTTAGCATAAAAGTTTACCTCTGTTCTTGGCACACATTTCGGTTAATCATTTTTTTTTAATTTGTATTGTAAGTGCAGTAAAACTTTTTATATTTGTAAATATTGAAAGAGGACACACACTCCCACAAAATTAAAATTAAAGCAGAAACATGTGTTGCATAAAGCCTAGATTATATTTCCTAAATATTGCCAAATGTACTATTTTCTTCGTATAACTTGAACATATCGTGAAAGGAAAAGAGGATTGTGAATATTCACAGACCATATCACGAACCTTGAGAGCCATGTTGAGTGTGTTGTTGGATGGTGAGTGGTGGTGGTGTCTAGGCCGCGTCTGGCTTTATACTCACCATCCTCTCTCCTGGACCTTCCTGTCCCCCATTCTCCAACACCAGCTGTTGTACGTCAGGCAGGTGTGTGAGGTGTGGTGCATTTGTTCATTGTTTGTGTCCAAAATTACATACTTGTCATTGTAATGCTCGTCATGTCATCAGTGTCTGTTCTCCTTATAATTAAACATTTATAGACATTTGTAGGAGATATAGGAGCCAAATTTGTCGTATTTTGTTACCTTTTTATTTTACAAAATTATATCTTTCATAGTGATAGCAATGCCTTTTGTTTAGTATTGATTTAAGTTTATGTATTGTATCCCACCTTCTTCTACCTTTAGTACCTTTACTAAAGGTACAGAAGGTACCTAACTTTTGTACTACCTTTAGTATTCGTGGTCCATGGTTTAAGGTGTGTGTCTAGAGTTACCCAACACGTTGGTTCGATCCCCGTCTTCCTCCAAAGATTTTCTCATGAGTGTATGCATACTGTATATGTACTAGAATGTTTATATCATAATGCTTCAGTGTGAGATAAATGAATTTATGTATGTGTTCCAGCAAGGGATGAATGTGCTTTATTTATGCATTAACACTGTGACGTCCAATTGATATTAAAACCCACCTTCCAAAAAATAGAACATATAGCTACTATGAATGAAATGTGAAAAACATTGACAAAAGAGAAATCACTTTTTTTTATATTGGAAATCTGAAGGACATCAACAAAGAGTGAGAAGGGAGTGGGAGTGGAGAAGAGTAATGATGAAGTTAACCTGTAATTACCGTAAATTAAAATCCATTCCTACCAAACATTTTAGGCCAAATTTAGTACATATATGTATGATATTCGAATTAGGGAAAGTTAGGTTTGGTAGAATTGACTTGATATCAATTGGTATGAATGGGATAAGTTTAGGTTTAGGAAAGACCTGGATAAATATTGGTTCGGTAACAGGGTTGTTGATTGGCGGAACCAATTACCGCATAACATAATAGACATAGGATCCCTTGATTGTTTCAATCGTAGGTTAGACAAAGACACGAATGAGTTTGGCTGCAAATAAATTGGAGCTGCCACGTATGGGTCAATAGGCCTTCTGCAGTTTCCATGATTCTTATGTTCTTATGTGCTCTAAGATGAGCCTTGGTCAAGTATTGCATCCTTCCACCCTTACGATAAGCCACAACTGATCACAGTATCAACGCACCTTCAAAAGAAATCCGGTCAAATCGGTATAGCATCTCTAAAAGCAAAGAATCCTTACCTTTAATGCAATAATTGCCGATCATTTTGCCATATTTGCATTTAAATCTGTCGATGGATGAATATTTTATTATTCCTCATGGTTCCATCTTTAGTACCCTTCTACTGGTTCATCATAATATCTGCCCAAACCTAAACATTATCTTTCGAGTTCAGTGTTTCCTATGAGAGTTTAGCGTTTGAATCATGTTCCCTTCTATCACTCGTTTCAATGTTGTTAGGATTATCTTCCTCAATCTAACTTATTAGTCTAAATTGAGGGGAAAATATAATCCCCTCAATTCTGAGACTGCTTGTGTAGCAAACTTCTATACGTTTTCCAATATATATGCTCTGTGTTTTGTGAGATGGGGCTGTGCCACTGGTGCTACAAACTTAGATAATCTAGTACTGTATGTATATTTAGTTTATTTTTTTGTACTTTGGTAATTACATTTTCAATTTTTTTTTACATTTGGTAATTTATTGGATTTTCACCCTTTTGTAATTATGGATATATGAAACCACGACGGGTTTGTTAGTAATTCATTTGACAATGGCCTTAAATACTTTTTTGAGGGGGAAGGTGCAAGAATATTTAAAACGCATGCAGACGTGCAAAAGGGTTTAGAATTACTGCAATAGACGATCCACAATTAGGCAGAAGCTCTGCCTAACCGAAGCTCTGTCTTGCAAGCTGTATTAGTTAAATACGTCCTTTGATTCTGAATTTTTAATACCCTTACGCCCCTCTTTCACCATTTCAATATTTATTGCCTTCACTTTGTACATCAGCTGGTCAAGTTAGAGACCGGGCTACCATGGACGTTGGTCCTTCAGACCACTTCAAGGTAACCAAGACTGCTCAGCATAATTTGTTGGTAATTACAATTAGCTTTTGTGCTGTTTCTCTACACCATATCTGTTTGAATACCTGATTTATGTTCTCGTACATCCTTATGACACCCCATCCTCCTGTTTAGATTGCAGTTTTTGTAATTATATGCTCCATAGTACAAACTATGACGTACTAAGTAATTAGTTGAATTTGATACTATTCACTTATAGAGTCCGAAAAATTTAGCTAAAAAAACAAGCTGAAATATTCCTAGTATAGCACACATGTGTACTATATTAGACCTCAGATAGTGTGTATTAAGCCTAGAAAGGTTAGGTTAGTTTAGGTTGTTTTTGCAACACAAGTACAAAACCTTTTCTGGTTTGTCCAAATTCAGCAGTACAGATTTCTACTTTCTAATTGCGTTGTACGTAGATATATGTACTAAGGTTCTCAGCGTTACTATAAGTAATACCAAAACAGGAAGATGGGCTGTTTATAAGCATTCCTTATCGATATTGACATCAATTCTTAGTCAAATGAGTCTGTTCAATTTGAACAATAATTATTGTTTTACTTATTCACATATATTGCAACATTGTAAGCACTATAAATTAGAGATATAGCAAAATATGGAAAATAAGATAAATATATCAATGCTTTGGATTTATTTAAACACTTAAGTCTCTAGAAACATTACAATTAACAATGACCAGGTTGGAATTGGAACCTTAACAACGAAAGTGATTATGGCTGGTATGTGGTGTAAGGCTGGGGACTAGGGTTGGTAAGAGGGTTGGGGTGGGTATGATGGCTGGGTCGGGTATGATGGCTGGTGGTATGATGGCTGGGGCTTGAATGTTACTGCCGGACCGGACTGGTGGGCGTACTGGGCCTCGCCATAGTACTCCACGTTGGCAGTGAAACCCTTGTGGTGGTCTGCTTCGTATTTCACCTAACGTAGAAAACATTTTTGTTAATATTAAGCGTCAAGCAACTTTGAACATTAATGTAAATATGGAGATTTTTAAACTTAGGAAGAAAAAGTTAAAAAATAAAGTCCCTTACCGTCTGCTTGCGTCCGTCGGGAAGGTCGACATTGTAGGAGCCACGGACGGTGTTGCCATCGGAGTTCTCACTGTGGCCGAAGTTGGTGCCGGAGTAGCCGTCCTTAACATTGTATGCGAAGTTGTGTGGCATACCCGGCTGGATCAGCATAGGAATACAATATGTATTTAATATACATAATATTTGTATATATTGTGTAACCTATACCCGTACATAGGAATGCACCTATGTTTTAACTGTTTGAAATATTCAATACGTTAAAATAGTAGACAATCAGTAACCAACCTGCTTATATGGTGAATGAGTAGGGTGATGACCGTAGGTAGGCGGGGGTTCGGCCAGAGTCGCTACCACCGCCATCAGCAGGACCACAGTCACCTGTTCAAGAGGGAAGGTTTGGTTTTATTAAAGTTCATTTATTATGTGCCCCATACCTGTTCTGTGGGTGTTTTGTGAAACCCCCATCCCTGTCTATAGAGTCGTAATGGACCCTATACCCATCCTGTGAGATTTAGTGGAATTCATATCCAGTTTGTAAGTGATATTGGATCCCATGCCCCATATTGTAAGTGGTAGTTGAGCCCATACCATTATGTGTGATTCTCGACCAAATACTCATCCTGAGTGTCAGTGGATATAATTTCATAAGACCATTGTAGGCTCAGGAGCTGAACTCCAATATTTGTTTAGGTGAGCAAGTTACAGCGTTGATGAGGTAGTTTCAAAGTTTAAGATATATCAACATTATCGTGAATTAATTTACCGCTCAGAACATCAATGAAGGGACTCAATTTATCTGAACATTGATAAATTCTATTTACTGTGGAAAAATGTAGTCTTTGTCCTGTTTTCTTTAAGTACTAGTTTACTTAATATAGATTTAGCATAAAAGTTTACCTCTGTTCTTGGCACACATTACGGTCAATCATTTTTTTTAATTTGTATTGTAAGTGCAGTAAAACTCTTTATATTTGTAAATATTGAAAGAGGACACACACTCAAACAAAATTAAAATTAAAGCAGAAACATGTGTTGCATAAAGCCTAGATTATTTTTCCTAAATATTGCCAAATGTATTATTTTCTTCGTATAACTTGAACATATCGTGAAAGGAAAAGAGGATTGTGAATATTCACAGGCCATATCACGAACCTTTAGAGCCATGTTGAGTGTGTTGTTGGATGGTGAATGATGGTGGTGTCCAGGCCGCGTCTGGCTTTATACTCACCATCCTCTCTCCTGGACCTCCCTGTCCCCCGCTCTCCAACACCAGCTGTTGTACGTCAGGCAGGTGTGTGAGGTGTGGTGCATTTGTTCATTGTTTGTGTCCAAAATTACATACTTGTCATTGTAATGCTCGTCATGTCATCTGTGTCTGTTCTCCTTATAATTAAACATTTATAGACATTTGTAGGAGATATAGGAGCCAAATTTGTCGTATTTTGTTACCTTTTTATTTTACAAAATTATATCTTTCATAGTGATAGCAATATCTTTTGTATATTATTGATTTAAGTTTATGTATTGTATCCCACCTTCTTCTACCTGTAGTACCTTTACTAAAGGTACAGAAGGTACCTAACTTTTATACTACCTTTAGTATTCGTAGTCCATGGGTTAAGGTGTGTGTCTAGAGTTACCCAACACGTTGGTTCGATCCCCGTCTTCCTCCAAAGATTTTCTCATGAATGTATGCATACTGTATATGTACTCCGGCTGTATATGTACGAGAATGTTTATATCATAATGCTTCAGTGTGAGATGAATGAATTCATGTATGTGCTCCAGCAAGGGATGAATGTGCTTTATGCATTAACTCTGTGACGTCAAATTGATATTAAAACCCACCTTCCAAAAAATAGAACATACAGCTACTATGAATGAAGTGTGAAAAACATTGACAAAAAAGAAATCACGTTTTTTTTCTATTGGAAATCTGAAGGACATCAACAAAGAGTGAGGAGAGAGTGGGAGTGAAGAAGAGTAATGAAGAAGTTAACCTGTAATTACCGTAAATTAAAATCCATTCCTACCAAACATTTTAGGCCAAATTTAGTACATATATGTATGATATTCGAATTAGGGAAAGTTAGGTTTGGTAGAATTGACTTGATATCAATTGGTATCGGTGGGATAAGTTTAGGTTTAGGAAAGACTTGGATAAATATTGGTTCGGTAACAGGCTTGTCGATTGGCGGAACCAATTACCGCATAACATAATAGACATAGGATCCCTTGATTGTTTCAAGCGTAGGATAGACAGACATGAATGAGTTTGGCTGCAAATAAATTGGAGCTGCCACGTATGGGTCAATAGGCCTTCTGCAGTTTCCATGATTCTTATGTTCTTATGTGCTCTAAGATGAGCCTTGGTCAAGTATTGCATCCTTCCACCCTTACGATAAGCCACACCCTGATCACAGTATCAACGCACCTTCAAAAGAAATCCGGTCAAATCGGTATAGCATCTTTAAAAGCAAAGAATCCTTACCTTTAATGCAATAATTGCCGATCATTTTGCCATATTTGCATTTAAATCTGTCGATGGATGAATATTTTATTATTCCTCATGGTTCCATCTTTAGTACCCTTCTACTGGTTCATCATAATATCTGCCCAAACCTAAACATTATCTTTCTAGTTCAGTGTTTCCTATGAGAGTTTAGCGTTTGAATCATGTTCCCTTCTATCACTCGTTTCAATGTTGTTAGGATTATCTTCCTCAATCTATCTTATTAGTCTAAATTGATGGGAAAATATAATCCCCTCAATTCTGAGACTGCTTGTGTAGCAAACTTCTATACTTTTTCCAATATATATGCTCTGTGTTTTGTGAGATGGGGCTGTGCCACTGGTGCTACAAACTCAGATAATCTAGTACTGTATGTATATTTAGTTTATTTTTTTGTACTTTGGTAATTACATTTTCAATTTTTTTTTACTTTTGGTAATTCATTGGATTTTCACCCTTTTGTAATTATGGATATATGAAACCACGACGGGTTTGTTAGTAATTCATTTGACAATGGCCTTTCATACTTTTTTGAGGGGGAGGGTGCAAGAATATTTAAAACGCATGCAGACGTGCAAAAGGGTTTAGAATTACTGCAATAGACGATCCACAATTAGGCAGAAGCTCTGCCTAACCGAAGCTCTGTCTTGCAAGCTGTATTAGTTAAATACGTCCTTTGATTCTGAATTTTTAATACCCTTACGCCCCTCTTTCACCATTTCAATATTTATTGCCTTCACTTTGTACATCAGCTGGTCTAGTTTGAGACCGGGCTACCATGGACGTTGGTCCTTCAGACCACTTCAAGGTAACCAAGGCTGCTCAGCATAATTTGTTTGTAATTACAATTAGCTTTTGTGGTGTTTCTCTACACCATATCTGTTTGAATACCTGATTTATGTTCTCGTACATCCTTATGACACCCCATCCTCCTGTTTAGATTGCAGTTTTTGTAATTATATGCTCCATAGTACAAACTATGACGTACTAAGTAATTAGTAGAATTTGATACTATTCACTTATAGAGTCCGAAAAATTTAGCTAAAAAAACAAGCTGAAATATTCCTAGTATAGCACACATGTGTACTATATTAGGCCTCAGATAGTGTGTATTAAGCCTAGAAAGGTTAGGTTAGTTTAGGTTGTTTTTGCAACACAAGTACAAAACCTTTTCTGGTTTGTCCAAATTCAGCAGTACAGATTTCTACTTTCTAATTGCGTTGTACGTAGATATATGTACTAAGGTTCTCAGCGTTACTATAAGTAATACCAAAACAGGAAGATGGGCTGTTTATAAGCATTCCTTATCGATATTGACATCAATTCTTAGTCAAATGAGTCTGTTCAATTTGAACAATAATTATTGTTTTACTTATTCACATATATTGCAACATTGTAAGCACTATAAATTAGAGATATAACAAAATATGGAAAATAAGATAAATATATCAATGCTTTGGATTTATTTAAACACTTAAGTCTCTAGAAACATTACAATTAACAATGATTTGACTGGAATGGGAACCTTAACAACGAAAGTGATTATGGCTTGTATGTGGTGTAGGGCTGGGGACTAGGGTTGGTAAGAGGGTTGGGGTGGGTATGATGGCTGGGGCTGGTGGTATGATGGCTGGGTCGGGTATGATGGCTGGGGCGGGTATGATGGCTGGGGCTGGTGGTATGATGGCTGGGGCGGGTATGATGGCTGGGGCTGGTATGATGGCTGGGGCTTGAATGTTACTGCCGGACCGGACTGGTGAGGGTACTGGGCCTCGCCATAGTACTCCACGTTGGCAGTGAAACCCTTGTGGTGGTCTGCTTCGTATTTCACCTAACGTAGAAAACATTTTTGTTAATATTAAACGCTAATTAGTTTTGAATATTTATGTTTAATATGGAGATTTTTAAACTTACAAAGAACAAGTTTAAGCAAAAAGGTCCCTTACCGTCTGCTTGCGTCCGTCGGGAAGGTCGACATTGTAGGAGCCACGGACGGTGTTGCCGTCGGAGTTCTCACTGTGGCCGAAGTTGGTGCCGGAGTAGCCGTCCTTAACATTGTATGCGAAGTTGTGTGGCATACCCGGCTGGATCAGCATATGCATACAATACGTGTTTAATATACATGTATACATAATATTTGTATTTATTGTGTAACCTATACTCGTACATAGGATTGCACTTATGTTTTAAATGTTGGAAATATTCAATACATTAGAATAGTAGAAAATTAGTAACCAACCTGTTTATATGGTGAATGAGTAGGGTAACGACCGTAGGTAGGCGGGGGTTCTGCCAGAGTCGCCACCACCGCCATCAGCAGGACCACAGTCACCTGTCCCAGAGGGAAGGTTTAGTTTTATTAAAGTTTATTTATTATATGCCCAATACCTGTTCTGTGGGTGTTTATGGACCCCATCCCTGAGGTGTGAGTAATAATGGACCCTGTTCCCATCCTGTGAGTAGTAGTTGAGCCATTATGTGAATGATACTGGACCAAATACTAATCCTTAGTGTCTGTGGAAAAAGTTTCATTTACGTATTGTAGGCTCATGAACTGAACCCCAATATTTGTATAGGTGAACAAGTTACAGCGTTGATGAGGTAGTTACAAAGTTTGATAAAATCCATTAACACTGAACGCTTCGTGAATTAATGTATTGCTTAGGACGTCAATGAAGAGATTCAGTGAATCTAGACATCAATAAATTCCTGTTACCTTGATTCAAGAATGTACCTATTGTCCTGTTTTGTATATGTAAGTTTACTTTAATATAGATTTAGCATAACAGATTATCCCTTTTGCTGGCAGACATTATAGTCAATAATATTTTACATTTTTATTGTATGCGGAGTAAAGTTCTTTATATTTGTAAAAGAATATCTAACGAGGACACACACACACACACACACACACACACACACACACACACACACACACACACACACACACACTGGGGCGTTGGTGGCTGAGTGGACAGCACGCTGGATACGTAGTCCTGTGGTCCGGGGTTCGATTCCCGGCGCCGGCGGAAAAAAATGTGCAGAGTTTTTCATCCTGATGCCCTTGTTACCTAGCAGTAAATAGGTACCTGGGAATTAGACGGCTGTTACGAGCAGCTTCCTGTGTGTGTGTGTGTGTGTGTGTGTGTGTGTGTGTGTGTGTGTGTGTGTGTGTGTGTGTGTGTGTGTGTGTGTGTGTGTGTGAAGAAAAATAAATAGTAGTAGTAAAGAACAGTTGATTGACAGTTGAGAGGCGGGCCGAAAGAGCAGAGCTCAACCCCCTTAAGCACATCTAGGTCAATTAGGTGAACACACACGCTGTTGTGGGGCCTCGCGGCTGTGTGGACAGCGCTTTGGGCCCATAGTTCTAAGGACCCGGGTTCGATCCGTGGTAGAGGCAGAAACATATGGGCAGAGTTTCTTTCACCCTGGTGCCCTTGTTCACCTAGCAGTAAATAGGTACCTGGGAGTTATACAGCTGCTACGGGCTGCTTCCTGGAGATTGTGTGTATGTACGTGTGTTATAGAGAAATATGTGTAGTAGATATAATAAAGAAAAAAATAAATTGGTTAGAAAGGCGGGGTCCAAGAGCTTAATAACTCGATTCTTCGGACCCAAATAGCAAATACTTAAAGTGACTTGCAGCAGAAGCAAGTGTTTATATAAAGCCTAGATTATTTTTCCTAAATATTGTCAAATGTATTATTTTCTTCGAGTAACATGAACACATCCTGGAAGGTAAAGAGGATCGCGACTATTCACCGGGCTATATCACGAACCTTGAGAGCCATGTTGAGTGTGTTGTTGGATGGTGAGTGATGGTGGTGTCCAGGCCGCGTCTGGCTTTATACTCACCATCCTCTCTCCTGGACCTTCCTGTCCCCCGCTCTCCAACGCCAGCTGTCGGACGTCAGGCAGATGTGTCATTTGTGGTATTGTTGTCGTTCAGTATGTACAGAATTACATGCTTAACAAAGTTGTTTTGTTCATTAGAACGTCTGTTGTGCACCTATCCATGATTTATTTACTTGATATACTCACCAGATGGGGCAAAAAAATTCCTTGCGTTTTCTAAGGTCTCCAAATTTTTCTCTGATTAATTTCAAAATGATAAAATTTATTGAGTCTTCTAATAGAATTACTTTTACTGTGAAATAGTTGTGTATGGTCGTAATACTAAGCTTCCTCTTTGTAATACTGTTAGGGTTAGATTTCCAGGTGGCAGGATTTATCAAGCAGAAAGATACGATACCCTTACATCTTACCTCAATAATGGCAGCTTAGCTTGCATTTATTAAACAGTTTACGAGCTTTGAAGTGCTAAATAATTATTTCTAACAATAATAACCTTGGGACGAGAATGATCTCGTGGTGTTTTCAGGCTCGTAAGCGGTTTAATAAATGCAAGCTAAGCTGTCATGATTGTGGTAAGATATACAGGCCTCTTAACTGAAGACAAATGTTTGATGAATGTTGGTGCTGTGGTCACTGATGGCGTGAATTATAGGGTCCTCTTCTAATGTGGCTCAGTCTATTGCAGTCAGAGATTGTGGGTGAATAATCTGATTTGAAATTGCAACATCTGATCATTATCGCGCAAATGCATGCTCTAAATTGCTATGTTACAGTTTCATATATAACCCTCTCCTCCCCTCCCCCTCACTCTTCGCCCCTCTCCTCCCTCCACACACACCTTTTTTTTTCATTCCAACGTCCTCCCCCACACTTTCCCCTTTCCTCCTTCTGCCTCTCAATTCATGCACCCACACTCCTGCTCCTCAACTTCCCAACCCCAACTTCCTCCCGCTTTCCCCCTTCTCTCAGAAAATGTATGGGTCGCTTCCCCCATCGCCCTCCCCCCTCACACCCCCTCTCCCCTTTTTTTTTCTTCAGTCCTTCTCTCTCTCTCTCTCTCTCTCTCTCTCTCTCTCTCTCTCTCTCTCTCTCTCTCTCTCTCTCTCTCTCTCTCTCTCTCTCTCTCTCTCTCTCTGTATACATATATATATATATATTAGTATATTTTGGTAGCAGTCTTTCCTGTAGACATATATTATAAAATATGACCGAAAAAGTAAGATTAATAATTCTAACACGAATTTTCTCTATCTTTCTTACGTTTCTTTTCACTGTTGATGGTAATTCAAAGATCAATTCTCCAAAATTCATTTTTATTTCTAGTCTGACGCGACACTTCAGCGCGTTTCGTAAAACTTATTACATTTTCAAAGACTTTAGTTTACAAACACACAACTGAAACTGAATAGAGCTTTGCAAATCTTCGAGTTTATATCTACATTTGGGTGAGGTGGATGAGGTGAAAACGAACTTTCAACAATGGGTATTAAATGGGTATTAAATTCTAACACAAGACAGAACACGAAACAATGGGTATTGAATGGAAGTAATTGTAGAAAGCCTATTGGTCCACATTTCTTGATGCTTCTATATTGGAGCGGAGTCTTGAAGTGGGTAGAATATAGTTGTGCATTAATTGGCTGTTGATTGCTGGTGTTGACTTCTTGATGTGTAGTGCCTCGCAGACGTCAAGCCGCCTGCTATCGCTGTATCTATCGATGATTTATGTGTTATTTGCTAAGATTTCTCTGGTGATGGTTTGTTTGTGGGAAGAGATTATATGTTCCTTAATGGAGCCCTGTTGCTTATGCATCGTTAAACGTCTGGAAAGAGATGTTGTTGTCATGCCTATATACTGGTTTTTTTGAGGCTTACAGTCCCCACCTCACCCAAATGTAGATATAAACTCGAAGATTTGCAAAGCTCTATTCAGTTTCAGTTGTGTGTTTGTAAACTAAAGTCTTTGAAAATGTAATAAGTTTTACGAAACGCGCTCAAGTGTCGCGTCAGACTACAAATAAAAATGAATGTTGGAGAATTGATCTTTGAATTACCATCAACAGTGAAAAGAAACGTAAGAAAGATAGAGAAAATTCGTGTTAGAATTATTAATCTTACTTTTTCGGTCATATTTAATAATATATATATACACACACACACACACACACACACACACACACACACACACACACACACACACACACACACACACACACACACATACACACACACACACATACACAATTTGCCCATTGTTTCAATGATTTTCATTCACACACAGGAGAACAGTAGTGTCGTGTACACTGGGAACTACCTAGCAGCAGAAGAGCAATATACTGGGTACTGCCAAGCAGTAGGAATTAGTACTGCTACACATGTACAGTTGGAACGTTCAGCGGGAAAAAGAATATCTTGATATACAAATAATTTGACCTTCGACCTATAACTATGAGGCACATGTATGTGGCTGTAGCTACTGTCTGCACAAGTCTGTCTGTCAGCTCATTCATCCTGCGCTTGGCATGGTTTCCACTGTCGTGAACAGGAAGGAATCGCGATATCCCCACGCCAACCAGTGACCTTCCCCAGGATGCAAGCCACAACAGTTGCGTAACTCCTGGGAACCTAATTGATGTTCAGGGAATAGAAGCAATTGGATGTAAGGAAACGTTAATAAATGTCTCCACCCTTCCCGGGAGTCGAATTCTGGGTCGGTTGTGAGGCGACTGCGGGGTTGTGGCTACACTGCTAGTCCAACCCGCCCTCGACTCAATTCCATTCCATCCAGCAGTCAACCCCACAGACGCATTCATAAATTTTAATATGTAGTTCATTCAAAACGGGAATTTTCTCAAATATAAATTAACATTATAATATATATATATATATATATATATATATATATATATATATATATATATATATATATATATATATATATATATGTATATAATATATATATATTATATATATATATATATATATATATATATATATATATATATATATATATAATATATTTATTTATTTATTAGCAGAGAATGGAGACAGCGTCGTGTCGATTTGCTTGGACCAAGATTCATCGACCACTAACGAGTCCAGTTAAGAAACCTGTACATCTTTCATCAATAATGACGGCCTAGTTTACATTTCTTAAAGAGTTTATGAGCTCCGAAACACTATGAGGTTGTATATAATAATAATAACCTTAGGTTATGAGGTTTTGAAGCTCGTGAAGTTCGTTTTCAATTCTGACTATTGTCATATCTTCTTGAGGTTATCTTGAGATGTTTTCGGGGCTTTTTAGTGTCCCCGCGGCCCGGTCCTCGACCAGGCCTCCACCCCCAGGAAGCAGCCCGTGACAGCTGGCTAACACCCAGGTACCTATTTACTGCTAGGTAACAGGGGCATAGGGTGAAAGAAACTCTGCCCATTGTTTCTCGCCGGCGCCTGGTGATCGAACCCAAGACCATAGGATCACAAGTCCAGCGTGCTGGCCGACCGGCTCTCATAGTCTATAATTTGCCTTCCCAGACTATTGTATTCAAAGCCACTATGATCGATTAAAGATGTACAGGTTTCGTAAAGTGCACAAGTAAATGCTTGATGAATCCTGTCTCTGGGCCAATAAATCCAAGAAGAACTGCAGCATTGTTTTCTTTTTATCACGTTAACCAGGCTTAGAGCTTTGTTCTGCTGTGGCTTTTATTGATATTTAGTAAACAATCATTGTTACTGCGTTGTTTGTGTGTATTGTTTCGTTTCTGCGCTAAGACTCCTTGTACACAGTCTGGGCGCTGACGGGTTGCACGGGAACACAACCAACTGTTGCTTGCTGGTGTTTTAACAAAATGGACGAGTGAAACTGAGAGTATTCAGAACAAAAATTTATCTGTTGTTGTTTTGTGCGCTTACAATGGGAGAAATACTGAGCAGCTAGATTATGAAACCCAATTTTTTTTAATGCGTACATGTTAAACCCAAGCATAGGCGCAGCTCTGGCAAACTCCCTTCTATTGGTGCCAAATCTATATAACTGTAATTTAGTTCTTTAACATATCAGTTAAATGCAATCACTAAATGATAACCAACAATCATGCTAACTTACACCTTTCCATAATACATAATAATTATCTGATTATAAGACCACCCAGTCTGTCTCTTTAAATCCAAGCAGAAGCAGCGGCCACTTTCCCCATTCCCCCTCCAACTCCCTCTACTGCTCGAGATGGTCGTCAACCAACACAGTTGATTGAATCAAGAAAGTCATATATATCTCTTAGACAATTATTTCCTAATTCTTTTTACTTTGCCTAGATGATGATGTTTTAGATTCAGCTATTGGGAACAAAACCTTCCAAGTAGCACGGGCTATGGTGAACCCGTAGTGGACTAACCTGGCACAGGAGCAGGCTGTAACTATTTGCCTAGATGATATTTGCATCTTATGACAACTACATTATTTGAGAATTCTTATGTAGCTCGACCTACCACAATAGGTTAAAGTTCAACCCTCTGTATATTGATATTTTCTCTAATCACTCTATTTAGGTCTACGACAATGATTTGCATGTTACTACAACTACTGGATTTTCAGTAAGCAATTTATCAGCAATACGAATTAAACTTAAGGTATCTACTTTTCACATGCAAATTCAATATTAAAGCCTAGTCAAGATGTATACAGCTTGTGTTTTTTCTAAGTTACTCCTAACCTATACACCTTACAGCATGTCTAATTACACTCACTCCTGCATGCACTGGACGCATGCAAATTGCACAGGTAATTCCAGTTCATGTTTGACAGGCCTAGTCGTAACACTTTGACTAGTATAGCCATGATAACTCCACGATGTTGGATTTTTAATTAGCTTCCCCATTTAAGGGTTAAATCAAAATATAATAATGTGTGTAGCAGTTTATTAATAAAGCTGTATATTATACAATGGTGACTAGAGCCTTGGGACACGTCTTAAGTAGTCGTTGTATACGCCAGTCAGTCGTCTTGAGGGTCACTGACTGTGTCAAGGTGGTACGAGGATTCTGTACCTGATTGGTACGAGGAGTCTGCGTCAGGGTGGGATGATGGGGCACTCTCATGTTGGGGCTCTGGCGCAGTGTCAGAATGGTATGTGGGCGCAGTGTCAGGATGGTACTTGGTTTCAGTATCAGTTTTATACTCTGGTTCAGTGTCAGTTTTATACTCTGGTTCAGTGTCAGTTTTATACTCTGGTTCAGTGTCAATTTTATACTCTGGTTCAGTGTGAGGTTGGTTCGCTGGTTCAGTGTCAGGTTGGTTCGCTGGTTCAGTGTCAGGTTGGTTCGCTGGTTCAGTGTCAGGTTGGTTCGCTGGTTCAGTGTCAAGATGGTATGAGAGCTCGTCTAGATTAGATGCCTTAGACTCAGGTTGATATGTAAGCTGAAGGTGGTTTGATGGCTCGGGCAGAGGCTGATATGAGGGCTGAGGCTGGTATGATGGTTCAGGCTGAGACTGGTATGATGGTACAGGCTGTGGCTGGTATGATGGTTCAGGCTGGGGCTGGTATGACGGCTGGGGTTGGTATGATGATGGCTGGGGCTGGAATGATGGCTCAGGCTGGGGC